CCATCGTCACCTCAGCTTGCTAATCCTCTGAACTATGTCGGTTACCTTGGTTCTTCTGCGGATGTCTTCGTTACGAACTCTATCACGCAGAGAAATACCGAGCAAAGCCCGCTCCATAGCTCGCTGAGCGACTTTGAGCTTCCTCATACGGCCAGCAGTGAAGGACCACGTCTCGGTTCCGTAGGTCATCACTGGCAACACACATTGATTGAAGACTTTAGTCTTCAAAGATTGAGGTATATATATATTCGCAGTGTGGGACGACCCCCCACTAGATGGAGTGACGACCTGTGCAAATGTGCGGGAAGTCTATGGGGGAGGCTTATGTTCAGCAGTGGACTCAAACAGACAGAATTATGATGACGATGATGAACCAACTACGGGTTTTGCAAATGTCCGTGGGCGGCGGTTAACACTTAGCATCAGGTGAACCGTCAGGTCACTTGCCACCTTCTCACACAAAAAAGCTACCTACTGTTAGAAAACTTTCCTTTAAAGTAAATTATCAGCCTGTACCAACGCGTCCATTGTGTGATTAGATCTCGCTAGTGGTACCTAATTACAATTATTAATATAACTGTAAGCACCAAAAGTATTTGGATAAAATTTAGGGGTAGCTCAGTGATAGCTCAGTGTCCGGGCGCTCGCCTATAATTTAATATTCTCGAGCAAGCTGAGTTCGATCCCCGGTGCCGGCACCAATGAAATTGACAATTTTAAGTGATAGAACAAGAGTTGTTGAACAACCGTTTGGGAGTCCCTTTCACCGTTTTCAGCACGGTACACACAATGGAAGAATGTAACAGAAAAAAAGTAAAGTAATGTAATAGCTCATAAATATCCCACTGTTGGGCAAAGGCGTCCTCCGAACAGCGGATATCAGAGCATAGTCCACCACGCGGCCCCACTGCAGATTGGCGGACTTCACATGTCTTCGAAACAGTTATTTTCGTTATTATTTTGAAAATATGCAGGTTTCCTCACGATGTTTTTCTTCACCGCTGAGCACGTGATAAGTCAGCACTTAAAGATGCTATATCGTCTGTCACATTCACTTGTATATGGCATATAATGCAATTTCAGTTTGCACTCAATTTTGATGCGAGTGTCATAACTTTGTAGTGTCCTATCTTTGTATATAATATCATTGATATGACATATGTAAGTGAATGTGACAGATGATACATAGATCTGATTACACCAATTGGCGTAATTTGAGTGCTTCAATTTTGGTGCACTAGTGTCATATATTTTTGATATAACATTATTGACTGAAAGGCAGATTAATGGTAAACGAAATTCAATAAGGAAATAACTTGATGTCGGCCAAATATGTCAGCACATGTCTTTCATTCAGCCAAAACAGTTGAATTGTGTGTTTTAAACAAAGCAAGAGTGTTTCGGCAATAAATTTTGTCCAACGAGTAATTATGTCTTCCGCGAGAGTTTTTCAATGTGTCGGATAGTTTCGTCTGATCTATTTTTTTGTATTTCAAATAGCAATGGCGACTTATCGTTCGAATTATCGTTGTAGAACACTACTTGAAATTGTTTGTACGTTGTAAAGGATATCACAATAGATGCGTCAAGCGTTAAGAAGACGTTCGACTATTTCTATTTGATTATGCCATACAATGGTGTTTAATAATATAGATGAGGCGTGTATATACTGCGCGGCGTTTAAAAATTGTTTCGCTTTACATCATATGACATACTAGCTGCTGCCCGAGACTACGTCTGCGTAGAATAGGCCGAAGGCGTAACATTGAGACAGAAAGACAGTTATACATAAAAATATGTATATAAATTAAAGCCTATGTTTGATTCTGATGTATAATCTATGTTATTGTAAAGTTTCATTAAAATCCGTTCAGTAGTGTTTTCGTGAAAGAGTAACAAACATCCATCCATACATACAAACTTTAAGGTTTAAGACATTTATTTTCTCAAAAGATTTAAACCATACCACTTACAGAGAAAATACAAATACTATATTATGTACAACAAAAAATTTCCGAACTGGCGAAGCTAGTGCTAATTATAATAAAAAGTGATAAAACATAAGGTAGTTACAAAAGAAATACATAAGAATTTTTACAAAGTGTGTGGTACATTCTAACTAAGCGGTAATTACCTATATTCGGAATACAAAAGGTGTTTACTTAGGTCTATAACATGGTGGCTTTAAGAATTTAACGTTCGCCTATATAATATTATTAAGGATATATTATACTAAGGATGTGAGAGATGATAATAGAACGTACGGTATGGTGAGAATTCTGTGAGAATTAGAACGAAACGATTTACGTTTGGTGAGTGAGGTCACGTCACTCGCCAAACTTCCGTGAGGTCGTGGCAGTTGTCCGGACCCACCTGCCCATTCGTGCAACAGCGTAGACTGTTCCGTGGCTCTATCTTACATCAGACTGTAAATTATAGCACAGTCCAACGCGGCCTCACTGGGGATATAAGGGAAATATTTGTTTTTGTTTTGTTATTATTTTTCGAAAATATCCCGGTTTCCCCAAGATTTGGAACAGCCTTTACCGCTTAGCACGAGATAAATCAGCACTTAAAATCAATTCCATCGATGCCGGCACCGGGATTCGAACTCGGGTTGCTCGAGCATATGGAATTGAGAGCGAGCTGGACACGGCTCATTGATTAACTGAAGGCTCGTTAACTTTTCAGATAAAAAAAAATCATAAAAAAAGGTTTGATCGGAAACTGTAACGTTAGCCAAGTGAGCTTTGACTTCCAGATTATTTTAAATGTAACTTTTCCCAACGACCAAGCGTTTCATCCCGTTACACGTTAGATGAACTAATATTTGCGTCTCTTCACCCGGATCACTACATAGTATATAAGTCATTTTTTACCAACGAACAACAGAACCGACTTCTAATATCTCGTTCTGTATTCATTTTATAGTTGATTTTCCTAAGTATATCCGGATCCCAAAATCCAATACCAATGAAATTAATATGAGACAGCACTAGCTTTCAAATAAAAAAAGAATCATTAAAATCGTTTCACTCAGTCAAAAATTCTGAGGTAACAAACAAAAAAAATACAGTCGAATTGAGAACCGCCTCCTTTTGAAGTCGGCTAAAAACAAAGTCGTCCCGCTGTCTGTCTGTCCCTATGTATGCTTGGATGTTTAAAACTACGCAACGGATCCTGATGCGGTTTTTTTACTAGATAGATTCAAGAGGAAGGGTTATATGTATAAGACATTGCACCCGTGCGAAGCCGGGGCGGGTCGCTAGTATCAAAAATGGTCGTTATGTGAAATGTCTGGACAGTTTAGACATTTCACATAACGACCATGTTGTCAATAACTACCCGTTTTTGTCATAAACGCAATCGCGAATTCTAAACCGCTTAATTCGGCTATGTGCTATCGTAATAGCTCGAAATAAATGTATCGTATCGATTTACACTGCAAAAGTAGCGCAGTACTGAACGCAATACATTATTTTCGTCTCGAGTGCTGCCGCCACTCACTTGTAAGCGCGCAGATGCCATTGGCGATATCAAATGTGGATCATTTAAACTGGCACAAGAAAAATGGAATCATCTAATAGAGAGAAAAGACGCAGCAAAATCTGTGTAATTGGATATGCAAAAATCTGCAATAGACAGTTTCTCAATATCCCCGCTAGATGGCGAACTATCAAAAAAATGGAATCATTTATTAAAGAAAAGATGCAGTAAAATCTGTAATGGACATGCAAAAATCTGCATTAGACAGTTTCTCAATATCGCCGCTAGATGGCGTACTATATATACTTTATTACTTTCTTAACATTTCATATTTACTTTCTTCCACGAAACTCTTTTAAAATTATTAACCTAATTTTTTTTAACATATTAGCCGTTAATTATACAAAACGGTCTAGTTATCGATGTTAGCGCGTTATTAGAAGATTAGAAAAAGATTAGTATTTTTTTTTTGAGTTAAAGTTTTAGTGAAAAGTTTAGTTGACTTTTTATGTGCTGAGCTTTAAAAGTGCCGCGATACTGTTAAACAAGTTTAAAAATATAAAATATTTAAGAAAAAAAAAGACCTACCGTACCGACAAAGTGTGGATATTGATATATCCACATTTTGTCGGTATCCTATGTCGGAAACTGAATGCATTTCTTAATACATGCTGGAAAACTGTCTCTTCATAATTTTTTTTTATGGAAAAAAGGGGCAAACGAGCAGGAGGCTCGCCTTATGGTAAGTGATTACCGCCACCCGTGAACACCTGTAACACCCGAGGGCTTACAAATGCGTTGCCTGCCTTTTAGGACAGAGTATGCTCCCTTCTTGAAGGTTCCCAAGTCGTAACGGTTCGGAAAGACCGTCGGCGGCAGCTGGTTCTACAGAGTGGTTGAGCGAGGCATATGCCTTGAAAATCGATTCATTTAGAATATTTAATACTCGACAAAATATCGATATTTTCTCCTCGATATATCGAGGCTAGTTTGCGGTTGCACGAATGGGCAGGTCCGTCCGGGTAAGTACCGCGATCTCACAGAACACCGCCGTGAAGTGGAAGTGTTATACTTCTGCGTTTCGTTTGGTGAGTGAGGTAGCCGGGGCCCGCTTTATTGAAAGATGGCATAGCATCCGCAACCCTAGGGGTGTAGCAAAATCCATGGGCGGCGGTTACCACTTAACATCCAACCGCCGGCTAGCTTCCCACCTTCTCACAACACGGTGGTAGGGCCACGCAGCAGCCTCGGCTGTTGCACGAATGGACAGGCTCGTCCGGGTAAGTACCACGGCGTAAAGTGGAAGTATAATACTTTCGCGTTTCGTCTGGTGAGTGAGGTGGCCGGATCTGTAACCCTCGGGTGTAGCAGATGTCAATGGACTTTACATCAGTTGAACCGTCTGCTCGCTTGGCAACTTTTGACATAAAAAATTAAAACATAAAAAAAACCAAAAACCCCAGAGGTGGTATGAAGGTGTCCTTCGCGTATTAAAGTGCATTGCGTGTCTCCAGGCGCGCGCTGGTGGCCCAGGAGCAGGATCTGCAATCCCAGGTGGCCGCCCTGACGGGGCTGGCAGACTCGAGGCGGGCCGACGCCGATCGGGCGGCGGAGCTCATCGCGTCCTGCAGGAAGGACCTGGAGACGAAAGACCAGGAGATAGAACGTGAGTGGGCCTGGTACCAGTTCCATTTCCAATTCCACGAGGCAGGGGCGTGCGTTTTGCTCTAGCGACCGATTGAATGGCCCTCATCGACCCGTTATCGGCGCGGTTATGAAACTCCTAAACAAAGCTTTTACAAACCGACCGTCCCCAGGTGAGCAGATCTCGAAACAGATTTCCACCCATAAGCAATTGTAATACGGAGTTTCCATGGGGTGTGCAATAAAAATTGAGAAAGGTTTTAATGAAAAAAGTGTAATCAAACAAACATAGGTCACTGACATGTTTCATTTGCTAAAACGAGGAAGCTGGAATTAAAAAATTAATTAATTCCCCTATTTTATTATTTAAAAGTGATAGCCAAAATTATTCATAATATGTTTAACATATTGCAATTGTACTTTATTGTCAATTAATGAGCAAATACTTTCGGCGCTGCGGTAGGTAATCTGCGGTAAAAAGCGGTAACAAAAATGAAAATCCGAATAGTTGTAAAATTTATATATATATTAAAAACTATTTCATTAATTTTTTTAATCATATTTGTACACAACTAAAGTAGCAACATTATTGACTTAAATGAACAAATGATGAAAAAAATAAAAAGTCATTACGATAATTAAAAATAAATTAATCATTTAAATAAACCGCACTTGCATACACAAGCGGTAATTATTTACTGTTCACCGGAACACACTCTCGCGGAGACAGCAAGGAGTCAACGCACGGTGATAGGTTAACGGTCGCCACAGAGTGCTGTTTTTCGAGAATCTGTGGGCAGCGGAATTCCCGCGCAAACATGGCGGCGAGCGCGCCCGACGCTTTTGGCGCCAATCCAGTGTTTCGATGCGTACTAAAGAAACTGAAGTTTTGTCATGAGGGTAGGGGATAGTGCGTCATTGTTGACTGCTTCGCCTCAATTTTATTATCCTCAATTATGTATGTATGTCTGTATATCGCTGTTTACTTATAGCAATATACGCGTAGACATTTACACGTGTGTCGACACGTGTACTTTTATATTAAAGTGGGTCTTAATAGCGACCAGAGAATGAACATAACTTAGATTATGTACCTGTGAAGTACATAACTAACTTGATAAATAACATAAGGTTTATTTCGTATAAAAAACAAAGCTTTATTTCTTCGAAGCATTCAAATATAGGGTTTGTATGTATGAATCCAATGATTTCATTGGATTCATATCATCCATACATTTGTATGGAATGATCTATACACGGAAGACGTGTTTAACGTTTTGGGCGACAGACTTCATTGTTTGGGTCTTTATATTTAAAATTATATATTAAGTTTTCACAGTGCTAACCTCTGCACTTTTAGATTAAACGTAAAAACGTGTAGAAAAATAGATATGATAAATTCGCGGCGGCGAAAGACTTTTCGTCGTTTCTTTTATAAATCTTAATGTTACATCTACAGTTTAGAAGTGAGGTAACAAATTAGGTCTTTTAGTGTTACAAATAAATAAACTAAGGCAACAAAGTATCCACTCCGATGAAGTAGACCCGCAAAGCATTTTAATGTGTGTTTCTACAGTTTAGAAGTTACTTAGGTAGCAAATTAGGTCTTTATAGTGTTACAAATAATAAATTTTTTTTATAGTGCTAATGTCTGCACTTAAGATTAAACATAAAATTTGTAGAAAAAGAACGAAAAGATTGTCGCCGCTGTGGGAATCGAATCCACGTTCCCACAACTATTTGTGTGTCCCACAGATAGTTGTTTCGCATCTGGGTTTTTGTCCGCGTGATATTTATGTTTGTAAAATGTCCTTACAACACAGGATAATGTTATCCTAAAGTAAGGGTTGTGAAATAAGAAATATCTAAATATGTAATATCTAAATAAACTAAGGCGACGAAGCATCCATTCCGATCCAGTAGACCCGCAAAGCGTGATCCTTCCGCAGAGTTGAAATGCGACCTGGCGGCGGCCTACAAGGAGTCGGAGCTGGTGAGGCAGCGGAGCCGCTCGCTGGAGGAGGAGCTGGCGGCGGCCAGGGGCTGCTCAGCGGACCTGGCCGACCAGCTGCAGAGGAGGAACGGTGAGTCGAGACCAGGGATCAAGCCCGCGCGTTCGGTACCGCTGCGATTGGTGGAAGAATAATTCGATACGGCTAACAGTACTGAAAGTGTGTTTTTTAAGTGCGAAGGTGGCAAGTGAGATGGCAGTTCATCTGATGTTAAGTGATAACCGCCGCCCATGGATATTTGAAACACCCGTAAGGGTTGCAAATACGTTGCCACCTTTTAATAACGTGGGCCCCGGCTACCTCACTCACCAGATGAAACGCAGAAGTGTAACACTTCTACCTTACACCTGTCCGAGGTCACGGTACTTGCCCGGACGGATATGCCCATTCGTGCAACAGACAGCTGTTGCATGGCCCTACCACAGTGTAGCTCAGCAGCCAGGTGTTTCTTGCCACAGATCCCTCGCGCTCGCTGTAACAAACGTTTACCAACAGTAGCTAACTGTGAAGTATGGTGGTGGAAATCAAAATTTAAATATTTACTTGTCTGGGTCTCCTTCTATACACAGTACCGCTTGGTGTTGTTAGGATTTCGAATGACTTATACATCTAGAAAGGCTATACTACTACAATACATAAAATTTAAATAATTCATGAAAAAATAATTTTAATTATAGTGTTCCGTACTCCGCCATTGTGGGATGGACTAACGACCGACTACAATATTCTATCTACAGATAGATTTGGCTACTGGAAATAGAATTTTGTCATAAGTTTTATGGAGCCATTGAGGAATACCTATCGCCAGTAAACAAATATATCTGTAGATAGTATATTGAAACCGGCCGTAAGAGATTTACTATAATTAAAACGCTAATTTAGTTGAATACAGAATTGATTGTCGCCTCTCAATTTCAGACGAGTCGGTGAGGCAACTCAAATCGGAGCTCGAGGAAGCTTTGACGCGACGGGCCGAGCTGGAGTCCAGGCTGCTGGAGCTGGAGAGTGAGAAAGAGAGGATGGAGCAGGAGAAGGAGCTGCAGGCGCAGAAGGCACAGGAGGTGAGAGTACAGACAGACTAGATAGTCCTCACATAGGATAGAGACACTTCTCTTCATTCAGGCATCCATTCGTTGCTTTGATTCTAAATTCACAATACTTTCTCTTTCGGCGTGTAAGTGAGAAAGTGTTCTGTTAGTGTAAGTTGATTGCAGTTAAGAACAGATAAATGATCTATTGGTTTAAAATAACTGTCTATAAGTAATTTGACTTATAGTCCATTGAGTTAGGGTTTTTAGCTACATATATTATAGAAAATTTGCGAGATTTCGTGCAGAGAAACTTGGATAAGTGAAATCTTTTAAACTTTGGCCAACCCTATAACAGCTTTCTAAGCAGTTAAGTTTGTACCGATTGTTGTCTAATTTACGAAGCTCATGAATAATGTCTCGGTGACGCCGTCGTTGAGCTATGTCTCGGTGCCGAGGGTCGTGGGTTCGATTCCCACACGGGACCAGTATTTGTGTGACCCACAGATTGACGTCAGGCAGGTGGCCGGTCGTAAAAATTATGATTCACGTGTCATGCCAACCCTACTTATGTGATATAAAGAGGATGACGAATAGACTAATAATGCATGTAGTGGTTAAGCAATCTTTATTGAGAATCGTGAAGCATTTAGATGCCCAAACCCGTTTCCGGCTAGCTGGTTCCGCGTCAGATGAAGCTTTAATAGTCTCGGGACTGAAAGCACAAACGTCAGTTAATACAAGATACAAGCATTTAGAATGTCAATAGCGAAGTAAAGCTAACATCGGGCTTTAATGAGAGCGGTGGCGGGCGAGCGGGCGTTTCCCCCGATCTTAAATGAGGGCTTGTCACGTCCAAGCGAAAAGCGAAAGTATAACACTTGCACTTCACGCCGGTATTCTACGAGTTCGTGGTACTTCGTCAGCGTGCGTCAGCGGCGGCTGCCGAGGGCCCCACCACCCACGGCCGACCCAGACAAAGTACCAATCCGTTCGTGGATCTATGAGCCCCACCGCGGCCGACCATGACAAAGTACCAGTCTGTGCGTGGGTCCGTGGGGCCCACCACGGCCGACCTTGACAAAGTACCAATCCACCGCCAGGCGTTGGCCGCCGCAGAGGCGGGGGCCGCCCGCTGGCGGGCAGCGCACGAGGCGGCCCGCTCGCAGGCGGCCGCGCGCGCCGAGCGCATCCTCGCCGACTGCGAGTGGAAGATGCGCGAGCTCGAGCGCCGCGCCAGGGACGCCGAGGTGGCGAGGAGGGAGGTGAGCGGTGGTAGGGAGGGTCACGGGGAGGGGAAGGAGGCGAGCGGGGGGCGGTGAAGGAGGCGCGGAGGGAGGTGAGCGGGGGGACAGGCTGGGGAGGTGAAAGAGGCAAGGAGGAAGGTGAGAATGGCGGGGGGGGGGGGGGGGGGGGGAGACTGGGAAGGTGAAGGGGATGAGGAGGGAGCTAGGAGGCTAGAGGGCACTCATCGCTCATCGCCAGTCTACGGCGGAGGCCAACTGTGTGCTGGGGGGTTGGGGCATATACTCTTCATTTTTGTTTGGAGGGAAGACAGGAATGCAAGATGAAACGGCATTTGACCGGATAGAAGAGGGAACCAAACTGCAAACTGCATCTTAACTAATACTAATACTTGGGATAAAATAAACTATCAATAAGCCTAGGGTAGCCCGGACTGCTATGGCATTATGACGTGAAGCGTGACCGTGCGTTCTCATATTGTTAAAACAATCCCAAAAAGAAAAGAATCACTAAAAGCGAAAAAAATGAGTGCGTCTTAACCTTCACACGTGGTTGACATATTATTATTAATTAAAACATCAATAATTGTTTGTTTAATTTAAATGTTTAGTTCAGATACATACATATAGTGTAAATAATAAAATCGGATGCTATATGAACGCACGCGCCATCGCCGTAAAGCGTTTCTGTAGCATTGCCTTCACAACAGTTCGATGTTGCACGAATGGGCAGGTCCGTCCGGGTTAGTACCACGACATCACAGAAGACCGGCGTGAAGTGGAAATGTTACACTTCTGCGTTTCGTCTGGTGAGTGAGGTAGCCGGGGCCCGCTTTATTAAAAGTTGGCAACGCATCTGCAACCATACGGGCGCCGGTTATCACTTGACATCTGGTGAGCCAGCTCGCTTAAGCAAAAACCCCACAACCAGTTGGCGGAGACGGTGGAACGCCTCCAGAAGTCGCCCACCCAGTCCCACATCGCTGAGCTGCAGCAGCTACGCGGCCTGGTCGGCGAGCAGCAGAGCAGCGTCCACAGCCTCAGCCTGCAGCTGCAGAAGATGGAGACCAGGGAGGAGGAGCTCAAGCTTGAGGTGCACCGGCTGAAGGAGCTCCTGGAGAAGGAGGCGACGAACCTGAAGGCGGCTGAGGAGAGGCATCTGCTGGTGAGTAGCCACTCGGTGATGGATGACCCGTTGGTGTTTCTCTACTCGCTGCGAAGCACGAATTAAATGAGGCTTAGGAATAAAAACTTGAGAAATGCGAGTCGGACTCGCTCACGAAGGGTCATGAGATACAGCTGGACTGACAGACGGACAGACAGCGGAGTCTTAGTAATAGTCTCGTTTTACCCCATGGGTACGGAACCCTGAAATATGAAAGGTGACGAACGATCGCGTTCAAAGGGTTGGGTAGTCTACAAAGATCTAGTGTATTCTTGGAACTGGTTGGGTAGTTGTCTTCGATACACTGTAGCCTCACTGGATGTGATCACGCGCTTAGAATGGGTTGGATAGTCTTCAAAGATCTATTGTACCCAGACTGGATGTGACCACGTGCGTGGAATGGGTTGGATAGTCTTCAAAGATCTATTGTATTCTTGGAAGGGGTAGCGTCGTCGTCTAAGATCTAGTATATCCTGACTGGATGTGACCACGCGCAGGAGGTGCGCAGCCTTGAGGAGCGGATAGCGAAAGCGGGCGAGGCGCTGGCGGCGGAGCGGGCGGCGGGCGCGGGAGCGATAGCGGCGGCGCGGGCGGCGGCGGAGCGGGCAGCCGCCGCGCGCACCAGGGCTGCCGTGGAGCAGATGCGCGCCGAGCACGAGCAGCGCGCGCGCGCGGCCGACAGGCGGCTCAGGGAGCTGGGGGCCAAGGTAGGCTGGTCGATGGTGGCCTCTGTTGGTCAGGGAGATGGGCCAGGGAGCTGGGGCCAAGGTAGGCTGGTCGATGGTGGCCTCTGTTGGTCAGGGAGATGGGCCAGGGAGCTGGGGCCACGGTAGGCTGGTCGATGGAAGCCTCTGTTGGTCGGGGAGATGGGTCAGGGAGCTGGGAGCCAAGGTACGCTGGTTGAAGATGCCTGCTAATAGTCAAACAGACGGGTCAGGGAGTTGGTGGCCAAGGTGCCTTGGGCTATGTCCCTCTGTTAGTCATAGTTAGGGGACGAAGTACGTCGGCCGACGGTGACCTCTGTTACTCAAGCCGAAGGTGTGGAGCGCTCTGTTACTGCACCCACGGTTGCTTTTATGGTTTGCAAAGATGTCTTGAACCTCAGCGTCGTGCCAGAAACCTACTGCAACAAAACATTGTTCTTTTAATCATTCCGTTTAGGTCTTCGGTCCTCACACTCGGAACAGTGCAGATACGCGCGATCGATCTCATTATTATCCCATCGGCTTTTCCAAATAAAGATGAAAGAAGAGTGTTGTAGGTCCGATCTTCATATGTACAAAGTCTCCAAGTCCAAATTTAAAACTATTCAAATTGAACCCAACAACGGCTCCACGTTCCCCTCTCGATCAGTTCCAGAACCTGAAGGAGGAGCTGGCCGCCAAGGAGGCGCAGTACGAACGGGCCCTCGCGGAGGCCCACAGCAAGGCCGACTGGGACGTCACCCAGCTGCGGCATTTACTCGACAAGGCGGACATCGACTACGCGAACAGCGTGGAGCAGCTCACGGAGAAGTTCGAGAAGGAGAAGGGTATGTTCTTCTCTGTCTCTCGTTCCTATCAGCGTTCGGATCGGCTGGACTACGCGGACAGCGTGGAGCAGCTCACGGAGAAGTTAGAGAAAGAGGAAGGTATAGTCTTCTCTCTCTCTCGTTCCTATCACGCTCGGCTCGGCACATAATGATTGATGTTGTTATGTGTATTTGGTTATATTAAAGGCGGACCTAACAACCCTCTGTGGGCCACAAATCGAACCCACGAAACCCGGCCCCGAAGCCAGTTGCACGATTGGTTCGATTTAAATCGGACACCGGGGCTTTAAGCGGGAGCCAAAGGTCTAATACCCCTGACGTGTAGTGCTCGGCGGTAAACAACACACATGGATCTTTTGAAAGAGCCAATCGGCTAATTTCCGCTTCGTAGAGCGTCATCTCTCCACACACATGTGACGTTTGTCAGTGACGTGCGACAGAGTGATATTTGTCGCCGAGTACCATACGCCTCTAAGTCAGAGGTGTCAAACCTTCGGTGGCCAATCAAAATATGTTTATCGCCGAGTACTATCATCCTCTAAGTCAGAGGTGCCAAACCTTCGGCGGCCAATCAAAATATGTTTATCGCCGAGTACTATCCTCCTCTAAGTCAGAGGTGCCAAACCTTCGGCGGCCAATCAAAATATGTTTATCGCCGAGTACTATCCTCCTCTAAGTCAGAGGTGCCAAACCTTCGGCGGCCGATCAAAATATGTTTATCGCCGAGGTCTATCATCCTCTAAGTCAGAGGGGCCAAACCTACGGCGACCCACCCGAGCACGTTAAAAAATGCCCCGGCCGCCCGCAGAGCGGCTGACGGAGGAGTGGGCGGGGCGGCTGCGCGCCGCGGAGGAGGGCGCGGCCGCGGCGGCGGACGAGGCGCGCCGGGCGCTGGAGACGACGCGCAGCAAGATGCTCGCCGAGAGATACGAGCAGATCTCCAGGCTCAAGGAGCAGCACCGCCTCGAGATGGGTACGGATATTTAGCGCGGTCGATGGCGGGCGCTTTGACTTTTCACTTTTCTTTTAAATCCCTTTACTGTGTAGGATACATAAAAACGTCGTAAAACTACATGTGTGCGACGTTGAAACTGGTACTACTACTGGACAGTACACACATGAGACTAGAATTACTACTACGTACTGGACTACTCTTCTACTAAGATGTGGCAAGAATGGACGTCTTAGTCGAAGAAAAAGACATTAGCATTAAAGTAGTAAAGTAACAGCCTATACAAGGAGACTTTTTCAGAAGTGCCCTTTACACAGGAGGTTTAGACTCGGCAGTATAATCGTTTATTGAAATAAAAAACAAAGTTTTTTTTTTTTTCAAAAAGAATGCCATTCTATTCCGTAAAACGTGTTGACAATGCGGTAGTCATTCATAAATACCTAAATTTTACTGTGCACGAACTTGTGTGCGTGTTAGTTATGAATGATCGCGCGTAAAATAAATTAGTTGCGTATAAATCACGCACTTTTTGAGACAAGTTCAAATGAATGTAATTAATGTAAGTAATTGAGTGATTTTAAATATTTATCATTTTTTATATAACATTATTTGTGTCTAGAATTTAATAAAAAAAATGGAAACACTTACACCCAGTTTCCGAAAGCGCAATCAATTTTAATTTACGATAAATCTCTTGTCAATCGTTGTTTAACATGATCTGAGTTGTTAGAACGTCTTAAACAACATTGATTTTGATTTGCAATTAGTCACTGATTAACGGACAATCAACAGAAAATCGAGTTTCTGAAAGCGTTTCTGAAAGTAATCTGTCAATTTGGACGATCAATCGTTGGTTAAAAATGTTATTTATCAAAAATCTTAGTTTTTATTAAAAATAAACCTAATTCCCTAATACTTTGTTAGGACATTCATGTGTTTTTACCTATTTATTATTTATTATTATGCGAACATATCATGTGATTAGAAAAAATACAAAATGCAATTCAAAAGTTAATAAATAATATGGATTCTTTCTTTTTACAATACTTACTTGTTTATTATGGATAAAAGTTCATTTTTTTTCACGTTCTGTAAAGTTTTTTTTGACATTTTGCATGTATTTATATAAATTAAATTTTATTATAGCTCGGATTTTTACGTTGGCAATCACACGGTGACAGGACTGGATAGTGACGTTAATTTAAGTTTTGTTTAAAAAGCGACAGCTATACAATAGAAAGAGTTGGTTGAAGTAAATCATTCAATTCATTCATTATCATTGGTCATACAGTGATTAGCAAATTTTTCTTGAACAAACCTTCCAGAAACCCAAGGCAGTTTAACAAGAGATTAACAGCTGATCATTTTTGACATAGTGTTATGTGATTGCTGCTTTGATTGGCCTTTCGGAAACTGGGCATTAGAATAGCCTCCCTGTATATGTCCCGTTGCTGGGCAAAGAAAAATAAAAAACTCATAAAGAATATTGTTTCTCTAATAGTTATTTCAAAAATGTGCCGGTTTCCTCACAATGTTTCCTTTCACCGCTTAGCACGTGACAAGTCAGCACATAAAATTGCGACTAACATTTTTATTGGTACCGGGATTTGAACTAGGGTCCTCGAGTATACTGCGCTCTCCGCTCATGACATAGACGCCGATATTTTCCCCTTCTAGCTAACCAGAGAGTCTTACCAATTCCATTCGCAGAGAGCCAATGGGAGCAGTTCATGACGGACAAGGAGAACTGCCTGTCGCGGATGAAGAGCGAGTGCCGCCAGGAGGGGGAGGAGGAGAGGGTGAAGAGGGAGAAGGAGCTGCTGAAAGAGATCGCCGGTAAGTTGGAACGAAAGTTATAGTCGTGAGTGTCAAGAAATTTTGGAAACAAATACGAACTACACTCTAAAAAGGTTGTCGACATCTGACCTTACTAATATGAAACTAAAAGAAATAGGCGTTAGTGTCGAGAAAATTTGGGAAAACATGGAACAATATATAAATATAATTCATCTATTTCAAAGCAATTATACAAAAATATTGTACGACAAACGTAATTCTATGAAAAAAATACAAGTAAATGAAAAATCTACATCATTAAGTGATAACGGAGAAATGGTTAATTCCAGAATTGAAGGCGCATATTCAATCTCAAACTGTGGACTTCGAAGATCTGCGCGAGAAGGCGGCCGCTTGCGGGCGCACGCTAGCGGTCACTGAGCAGGAACTGAGGTGAGAGAACTCTTACTCACTTTAACTCTACCCTGGACTCTGTCGTCCCTTGTTCTTCCAATATCTTTTATAACCCGACTTTTCGCGTTTTTAAATTTTGTCAACCTTAACTCGCATATTTATTAAAACTACCACTCGTACAAATCAACTGCTCATTTAAATCAATCTAACTCTTCTCTCAACTCTAACTTAAATTTGTCAACCCTAACTTCACTGTCACTTTGCTGTCAACCCTACCATTAACATGAATAGGCCAAAACGCTTCATTTGTTACTTGAATTTGTGAACCTCATTCCAATTTTAATGTCACTGCTGTCAACCCTAACTCTAAATTTGTCATCCTTAACTGTCTTTAATATCAATCCTAACATTAACCTAAATAGGGCATAACACCTTATATTTTACTTGAATTTGTCAACCCTATTCGAAATAAGCTTTATCTCACTGCTGTCAACCCTAACATTACCTTTGTCAATCTTAACTCACACCGTTAACTTGTAACAATGTTCGATTGGCGTTAAGCACAAAACGAAACGTCAAACTAACCACATCTGCTCTGAAATGCCAATTAATTCTTAATAACCTCATATATTCTTCGAAAGAATTAGTAGGTATTCCAAATGTGACTGGTAGCGGAATGTGTCCCAAAATATTGAGATCGGAGGCTTTATAGAACGATGTTTTATAATATTGGAAAATTCCCTTATATAACAAGTTTTTGACATTAAAAGATACATTAAAAATTCTTACTTAGTTTCAACTGTCAGTCTGTCTTTTTGGTAACCTAAAATTCCAGAGATTTTAATTTAAACAGACTACAATCTCATTAAAACTTGATGTTGACTCCGTGGCAGTTGCCAAGGTATTGGCTTCGGCGTCGGGAGTCGTGGGTTCGATTCCCACACGGTACGGCTATTTGTGCGACCGACACATAGTTGTCTCGCGTCAGGGTGTTTTGTGCGCGTGAAATATAAGTTCGTAAAACGTCCTTACAACACAAGATAATGTTATCTTAAAGGGCAATGTTTTTTTTAAAGAAAAAAAGAATAGAAAAAAACACTTAAAATCGATTCAGAATTGCTAATATTGACTTTTGGACAAATTCGGCTACCATTCACATGTTGCGTCCTAACTCATCCCCTCACTCTCTAACTCAACCTAATCTACATCGCTGTACATTCGCACCACAACACAATAAAGTCCATAAAAACATCACCTCCATTTATAACACATGTCCAAAAGGCAGTATTGAAACAGTAAATTTAAAGTTAATCACAGATTAAATAAGCAATTACAATAAAATGGCAACTTTGAAGACAGACTATAATTTTTTTTTAAACTATGAGAAATATTTTATGTTTGCACGTATATGAAGATTACTTAAGCTTTTAATAATCAAATTCAAACCGCCAAAACCGCCCACAGATAATATAAAAAATATAACGATAAACTTCTCTCCCGAGTGAAATTTTAGATTTCGAGTATTTGTATAAAAACGTGCGATATAACAATAGACAGAAAGTGGTTGAAAAATAATTTTAATAAGTTAAAAAAAAGCGGTTACTATTTAAGTAAACAGTGCTAGACTTCCAGTACTAAAGGTCTTATTAGTCCAAGCATACATTACGAGAATGTATGCCAGTAAGTTGTGGTAACTTTAAAATTAAACCAGCCATAAACGCTCCTAAAGTCTTACAGCTAAAACGTCTGACGAGTTCTTTATCAGCCTAAATCCAAAGCACCGCTTCTTCCGTTTTGTAAAACAGCTAAGATATGCTGTCTCCGTTTTGTTGAACCTAATAAGCGATGTAAATGCTGCAAATCGACCTTTGGAAAGAGACATTCGGCTAGTTTCTGCTTTGTAGAGTGTTGTCTCTGTCTCATGAAGCGCTAACAGTCGGACAGTGTGCGACAGAGATGACGCTACACGGAACCTTATCTCTGTCGCTCACTACTCATAAGAGATTTGCCAATCATTGCACATGTGTACGACAGAGATTGTACCACCAAGTGTGGCGGCGCCACGCAACAATCGCTGTTGCACAAATGGGCAGGCTCGTCTGGGAAGTGCCACGGTGTCACAGAAGCCTGGAAAAAATGGAAGTCCTATAGTAAATTCTGCGTTTCTTCCGGTGAGTGAGGTAACCGGGGTGGTGACGCGTCTGCAACGCTACGGTGTTGCAAATGTCAATGATTTGTATGACGACGATGAATTGACGGCGGTTATCACTTAACATCAGTTGAACCGTCAGCTCGCTTGCCATCTTCTTACATAAAAAAAATTTTACCTCTTTCCAAACGTCGATGTGCAGTATTTATTCCCAAGTATTTACAGATGAATCCCTTTAGATACCAAACCCGACTGACCTACATTTAACAAAGATCTTTCCAAGTTCGTTGACCGGGTAGAGGTCGCGTCAATCGATATATATTTAAATAATTTCATCTCGACTCTGCCTTGTCCGCCGGAAATCATAGCGTTTCTAATAAAAGTGTTATTTTTCTTTAGCTTTCATACAAAACAGGTGTATAATATTGAACCAATTTAAATTATGAATAAAGTAATACTGTCAGTAAGGTTAAACACCGTACAAGTACCAATCAAATCATGCAATGCGGCGGTAAAATAAGTATATGTTAAAATAAAAAAAGTAATCCTGTGAAAAGAATAAAGAAGTGTTAAATTCATTACAATATAGAGGACACTAACCGCCCAGCGTAAAAAGCGTAAAAAACGTCATAAAGTAATCTGTCACAGATAACAAACATAAAAGACTGTGTATTGTGACTGTGTAGATTAAAATATCCTAAACGAAAAGCTATAAGAAATATAGAAATACACGTAAGATAAAGATAAAGATGGCAGTAAGATAAAAGGTACAAGATGGCGTGGTTGTCCCGCAGCTGCGGTTGGTTGGGCGCGCTGGCGGCCGCGACGGGCGCCTGCGCGGCCACCGGATCGCTCCGTCTCGCTCTAGCGACCCTATTCCTCTCGCTCGCGCTGCTGTTTTACTTGCGAAAGGCGAGTGAAAAGAAAAACGCCTACGTCGACTGACACGATTGCTCTAACCATAGGCTAGGTATATTTAGGTTCCTTAATAAATTCTTGAGTTTTGAGATAACATATGGATGGTTGTGGAAAGAGAGAAAACATAACTATGAATTTTGTGTAGATTATATCCTCCTTGATAAAGATAACGAGACGACGGCCAAAGGCGAGTGTTACTTTTATATACAAGCGCTATAACTTTTAATACTAAGTTCACGATATCGTTAATATTGTTTAAATTTTAGGTATATTTTTATTTCTAATCGTGTTATATTTTAAGTAAGGAATAATATGAGGATTGTTTTTCTTTTCTACTGCCTCGTTGGACTGAAACATTGGAATTAACAACCAAAGAAAACTATAGACTGACTTTTTAGTATCGTACGTCCGCACGCAGAGTTGTCAATTAACACCATCTAGCAATATTCGTTCAATTTTCAAATGAATTGTTATTAAATAGTTTAAGACTGAACTTCTTTCAAATAAACAAGAAAGTACTCTCTGTGGGCGGATATTAAGTGATTTTTTGTAGTCCAAATCCCAAAGGGCTTCTTCTATATATTTCTTTGGTGTAACATATTGTATATCCATCATCATACACGGAATGTGATCTAGTCATTGTCGTTTCTCTATTGTAACATAAAATCTAAACTATTTATTTTATTTCTCTATGGTACTATAAAAAATTTATTATCTGTATAGCTTATGTCAAATCGTCTTTCGAACTTCCCTGATTTTAATTCATATTAAAGCAATTATAATATTTCTAATAGTTTTTTTTATTTGGTATAACACACTTACACAAACACACACACATGAGTTACGGACAGAGTTATATGTAGATTTTAATCGATATTAAAGAAATTATAATATTTCTAATATTTTTTTTTATTTATTATAACACTCTTACACAAAAACCACACACATATAAGTTACGGGGAGAGTTGCATGTAGATTTTAATCGATATTAAAGCAAATATAATATTTAGAATAGTTTTTTATTTTATTAAGTATAAAACGCACACAGACACACAGTCATACACATGCATGACTAATGAATTTGAAGCGAAACCTCTACTATTAATTCAAAATTCCCTTATATCAGACACTAAATCGGCCACAGATAACTCTATGCAATAGACAGTAGACAGACTAAACCCTCCCCCGAACCCGTGCCTAACCGTCTGACAGGGAGGCTCTGGCGCGGGAGAAGGAAGAGCGAGACGGAAGAGAGCAGGACGCCGCCAGGCTGAAGCAAGTGGAGAAGACCTCCAGGGATCAGATCGAGCATCTGACGAGGAAGTGCGCGTGCCTGAGGAAGCTGTGAGTTCGACTTGACTTACGTAAAACGAGGCGTCTTTAACCGGCGACACCATCGCTTTGATGTCGACACTAAAGCTAAAACAATTGTCTCATTTCAGTATTAATTTTTGTTTTTAGCTGATCTCTGTACTCAAGATTGTTGTGTCATTTCCAGGTGGGAAGTTCGGGTTAAATTCTTGGATTAAAACCTTTCGTTGGTTTACAGTTGAGGTTCTAAATGATCTATCCTCTCAGTCAAGTAGTAGGGATGTCGGTAAAATATCGATACATATAGATATTTTTGATTTTATATATCGATAGTTTTAGTCGATATACTTGGATATTTCGATACAAAATTTTTATATCGAAATCGTATCAAAAACAATATTTTTCAAATTTGACTCCAACACAGAGTCTGTGGAAAGAACCTAAAGAGAAAAAAACGATATATCGATATTTTCACACAGGCTGTATAAATATCGATATGTCGATATATTCCTTCACTTTCGACATCCCTATCAAAGTAGAGTAGACTCACTGGTTTAAATTTCCCCTGCCCTCGCAATATTACCCTGTAAGCATAATATTCTTAAGAGGGGAACCAAAGCTTTTAGTTCACATCTTAATACATAGATTTCGCTACAGTTCTAGTTGTAGTGACCAGTTATAATTTGGTCTCTGACAACATAAGCCGCTTATTACTATTTAAAGACCGTAACTCACCAATTGGCATGGTGCGACATTATCGAAAAGCTCCAACCTTTCGGTCGAATCGAACCTCTTTCACCATAACCGATGTCGGGGGGAAATAATTTTTGGGATAGTTTTGTGTCCCCTTGTTTACGGCAACCGAGGCTCAACAGAATGATCTTCCGTGAAATGCCCGCCTCCGCACCTACGACATAAAGACCTTTGCAATCTCTTCACCTTTTAGCTGTGATATGGCCACGCAAGTGTTAGTAACCACGACCTCACAAAAGACCGGCGTAAAGTAGAAGTGTTACACTTCCGTGTTTCATCTGGTGAGTGAGGTAGCCGGGGCCCGCTTCGTTCAAAGGTGGCAACGGATTTGCAACCCTACGGTTGTCGCGAATGTCCACGGGCGGCGATTACCGCTTAACATCACGTGAACCGCCAGCCCGTTTGCCACGCTATCACGCCCGAGGTCGCGTAACGTCAAGTGAACGACCGGACCACCTCCGCCATAAAAGACCTTGGGGATCCCTTCGTTTTCCACTTCTTCATATTGTGAACTGATTTTTTTAAAACAGAGCAACTGTTGAGTTTCTCGCCGGTTTCTTCTCAACAAAAACCGCTTTCCGAGCCGGCGGTAACTTGCGAACGTGTTAATTTCTTGTAAAATTTCTTGTAAACGTTTCATAAGAACGCGCAAGCGTCTATGTGAATAAAGATATTTTATTATTATTATTATTATATACTTCACCCGAGCCGGTCCGCGTTCCGTTGCAGCTTCGACGACATCCGCGCCCGCCTCGCCGCGTGCGAGCGCTCCGCCGAGCAGGACGCCCGCGCCAAGGACCGCGAGCTGAACTGCCTGCGCGCTGAGGTGGCCCGCCTCACCAAGATCCTCGTCGAGCAGAGGTGTGCTTTGCTATACTCAATAGATCGTCTGTCGCTTTCTTCGCCTAGCTTGAGTAGGAGATAGGAAGATACGGATTATCTTCCTATCTCCTTCTCAATAGTTGCCTTTAAGTTATTATGGACGCACTCTCGCCATATCCTCGTCGAGCGGAGTGACGGATGCTGTACCCACTCTATCCTCTGTCGCTTTCTTCAACTTGGTATCCGCATCTCCCTATCTCCTTCTCAATAGTTGCCTTAAAGTTCGTACTGACACAATCTCACCAAGATCCTCGTCGAGCAGAGGTACGGCTGCGACCACTGGATCCTCTGTCGCTTTTTCACCTAAGTATCCGCATCCTCATATCTCCTTCTCAATATTTACCGTACTATTCGTCCTGTTGCAGCTCGCCGAAGTTGGGGGCCAGGACTAGAGCTGATGGTTGCGAAACCTCCTCGAAGGGCGAACAGACCCCCACTAAAGGCGATGAGCCGCCGGCGCCCCAGCGGAAAGGAGGTAGTGAGGCATTGACGGTTACTTATACGTCCCATTGCCGGGCCTCTATGCAGAGGACATTCCATTCTACTTTCTATTTTTTTTTAAACATTGCCACTTACTTTAGAATAACATTATACTGTGTTGTATGGACGTTTTACAAACATAAATTTCACGCGGACAAACACCTAGGTTCGAAACCACTATCTGTTGGTCGCATAACTAGTTGTCCCGTCTGGGAATCGAACCCACGAACCCTGACGCGGAAGCCAATACCTACTTGATAACTGCGCCACGCAGTCATCAAGTAGGTCCAGTATAAAGGTATTAATATAGTTCAACACGCGATTAACATCTTCGAAATATCGCCATGTTTTTCAGTTATTATTTTTCAGTTATTGTTTTTCAGTTATTATTTTTCAGTTATTGTTTTTCAGTTATTATTTGTTATGAAGTACCAGACCTTATACTTTAAATTGTAATTTTTGGAGATAAATCAACAAAAACTTTCCACTAAATTACGAATCACTTGCCTTTACGACACAGTTATTCTTTAAAAAAAAACTTCAATTTCAACTCACACTTCTCTCGACTTTTGGAAAATAATTATCGCCGGTTTCGCTTTCCTATAGCGCCGTCCCTTTCGCACACCACCTTTGTGACGTTTGTCAGACGTTGTTTAAAAACACCGTACGCCTTTTTAGTTGCAAGACCGTTACCAAATTTTGCACGAATCATACTCTTATGCCGCTAATAATTCTGACCTTGAAAATTTGAAATGAAATGACCAGGAACCCTGATCTAGCTGCACATATGTCCTGCCCACTATTGCGTGTCATCTTACGATTGACGCTATCTCAAATGCAGGAGCCGCCACGGAAAGCGCCCGAAGAAGAGCCAAGAGCTGACCTGCCGACATCAGAGCCACTTTAACAATCAGTAGTCATTAATAGTCTTCGAGTTACTCGAGTATTACACAATATTAAAGAATAAATATAAATAATCCTAATAAATATTCATTAAATGTCCTCAATTAAAAACCACAAGTCAGTCATAGAAATAAGGAAGTATTTACCCATAGGGAATTTCAATGTGACGATGTTATAACGTGAATCGTAATGTTAAAATGTCAGGGGTATTCAACTTGTTAACTCCAAGGTCATTGGACCAAAGATCATTAGTTTTTTTTATATTATTTTAAGATTTAAAAAACAACTAAAGTTGCTAAACGAAAATTCGAACGTAATTTTATTTATTAGATATTTTTTATTTAATGAATTTCTGTTCCTATGGTGAGTGTTGCCAACTTATGCAGTTGCCAATTTACATACATAAGTTGATGACACTGACCATAAAGAATTCATGTTCACAACTAAATATCGGTATGAGTTCACTATATCATATATTCCTATATATATAAGCGCTTGTGTTTTTTTTCAGCTCTTTAGATACAATACTTTGTACCCCTTTGTGATTCATATTTAATCTTGGCGTTGGGAAGGAGAAAAGGTATTAAATGTATTAGAATGAAAGAGTATATAAGGGATCCCAATCAATTGGGCAAATTAAAATATCACTAATTCACTATTAGATTTTAATAACTAACCAAAGAACTGTCGCTGTCACTTCCAGATACTCATTAACGAGAAAATTGACACATCGATAAAAATAAAATAAAAACGCGTTATTTAATAATGGAAAAAATTTACTCCAGTACATGAATAGTTACTCTCCATTATAGGTTGTCAATCATTAGAGACGAATGTAACTTCCTATAATTAATGAATAAGTTAATGATTAAGAAAAAGCTGTATTTACTCCTTGATCATGTAAATATATCATTTTTCTAATAAAAATTTTCTCGCAATAATATGTTATCTTTTATTTTGTTTCATATTGCCTTACGTTTAAGTTAAAAAAAAATTCAAATCGACATCTACAGCCAGTCGTCTACGTCATACGGGAGTATAAGCTGCGGAAGCGTAAACAAAACAAAAAAAATCTTATATTGAAAATAGATCACAAATAGTTACTTTAAAAAGCTACATATCTGAACCGACTCTAGTGACTTCAGGCGTCCCGCAGGGTCCCAATCTGGGTCCATTACTTTTTATTTGCTTTATTAATGATCTTGTGCCACTTTTATCCTCACCCTGCTTGATATATGCTGATGATTTAAAAATATTTCGGAGTATTAATACCAACGAGGATTGCATATTACTGCAACGAGATTTGGATTGAATCACGACATGGTGTAATAACAACCACATGTTTCCAAAAATGCTTCTGTATTAATTTCTCATCTAGCGCTGTGAAGAAAACTGACTTTAAGTATTCTATCAATCATATGGACTTAGATTGGAAAACTACGGCACGAGATTTAGGAATAATCATGGACTGCATGCTATCGTTTAGAGACCATTATGATTACTTACTCAATACTTGTAACAGGAAGCTTGGCTTTATTTCCCGATGTTGTAAAGGCTTTCGTACCCGTGAATCATATATAAAAGTCTTCAATAGTTTAATTCGTAGTAAGCTGGAGTACTGCAGTATTGTTTGGAATCCTTACTACGCGGTGCACATAGATCGCCACGAAAGTATTCAGGTAAAATTTTTCAGAACTATTTCATATCGCCTTGTAATGAAGCGTACTCTCACATCTTATGCAGATAAATGTACATATTTTGGTATGTATACTTTAAAAAACCGCAGGCTGATGATTGACATGTTAATGTCTAATAAAATACTAAGAGGTAACTTGAAAACTGAACTCCTTGCAAATGTAGGTTTTAATGTACCCTTGCGCAATTTAAGAAAATGTGAACTGTTTTATGTTCCAACTCATCATACAAATATCACTTCCAATAAACCTCTATCTAGAATTAACCGCAATTATAATTCCCTGGTTCTGAAACATCCTGGGCTGGATATTTTGGGTGATGATCTGTTCACATTTAAATGTAGATTGAAAGCAGCCTTAAATGCTTCATGATATTGTTCTCCATTATTCTATTTTAGCTATATATTTATTAGTTTTAAGTTTTTTTTATGTTTTGTCACTTTTATAATATGTACCATCAATTTACTTGGTTTTTCTTATATAACTTGCTGTCGTCGCATACTTGGAATGTCAACTGAATGTTATAATATTGTCTTTGTATTATTATTTAAATACGTTGTCATTCTGCTTTGTGATGCTACAAATAAATAAATAAATAAAAGGATCTTCAGCTCCACATCCACGACCCTATAAATTTATGTGCCTCGTTATAATAATAAATCTTGTAGCGGCCATACTTAGTTTCATTTACCACCGCCTTTTGTGAGCAATAAATGTATAAGACTCATTATCACACATTCAAAGTCAAAGTCAAAGCATATTTATTTAATATAGGCCTAACTTAATCTCTTTAATTATAATTGCTAAATTAGGCCGGGGTGGCAACATCAAGAGTCTGAACAGTTAACATATAGAGTTTGTTTAATTAATGTTGATAGTGACGGTACTTATATTTCAAAATTTTAATTGTAAAATAAATAATAATATGTCCCTTTACTGGGCAAAGGCCTCCTCTGTACTCTGTATTATTTCGAAAACACGCAGGTTTTCTCACGATGTTTCACTTCACCGCTCAGCTTTTAACGGTGGTTGGGCCACACAGCAGCCTCGGCTGTTGCAGGAATGGGCAAGCTCATCCGGGTAAGTACCACGACCTTAAAGAAGACTGGCGTAAAGTGGAAGTATAATACTTTGTCAATTTTCAAAAGGTTGTCAACGCATCTGCAAACCCTTGGGTATAGCAGATATCCATGGGCGGTGGTCTTCACTTAACATCCTGATGTGAACCACCTGCTCGCTTAGCAACTTTTCATATAAAAAAGCACGTGCATAGGATAATTGTAATTGAATTTTTAAACTGGGATCTCTTTTCTACTTTACGGTATAAAAGCTGTTTCTTTAATAATATATCTTTATCTAAGACTAGCGGCCCGCCCCAACTTCGCACGGGTATTTAACAAAAAGTTATCATACACACACATAAAACCTTACGAATATTTCGTCTTTGGTGAATAATTTTATGAATTTCTTCATCTTTTAATGAAATACCCTTGAAATTAAGTCATGAAGATAAAAAGACCGCCGACCGGATAATGGTTCCGCTTTAATTACGGGACATTCGGGGTTACACGTAAAAGTGACAAATAAGTCTGGTCTCCCATAGCTTCGGACATAAATCATCGCATCTTTAGTTTTTTAATGCAGATAACTCGGAGAACCCGTAAATGAATATGACGTTGCAGATTACGCGTTGACCGATATTTGATGGGCCAATGTCTTGATTTAAGGCGTCTCTAAGATGAATGTTTCACCAGCCCTCAGTCTCTGGTGATCACGACATCATAATTATGTAATTCAATCTTTCTGAAATCTTTTTGCCATCATATCGACAATGTATTGAATAAAAACCGGCCAAGTGCGAGTCGGACTCGCACCCGAAGGGTTCCGTACCGACCTCACCGAAGACCGGCGTAAAATAGAAGTGTTATACTTCTACGTTTCGTCTTGTGAGAGAGGTAACCGGTGCCCACTTCTTAAATGTTGGCAACACAGTTGTTATCACTTAACATCAGAGGAACCGGCAGCTCGTTTGGCACTCTATCACATTAAAAAATCATGTTTTAATACCTTTATTTAATAGAAGTATAGAAGTATTACACTTACATATTGTCAAAAACACTACTACTGTAAACATTATCTATAAAACGACAAAAAAATCTTCTGTTTTATGGGAGCCCCGCTTATTTATACTTTTTGTTTTTTAATATTTATTTTTATAGTGGCAACAGAAATACATCGTTTGTGAAAATTTACACGGTTCATGAGATACAGCCTGGTGATATATGGACAGACATACGGACATACAGACAGTCAGCGGAGTCTTAGTAATAGGGTGCGATTTAGCCCTTTGGGTACGGAACCCTAATAAGTCCCAGTAATAATGCAATGGATTAGAACAGGTAGCTCTAACCATCAACCTAAATGCATAAAATTCCATGCATGTCACAGTTTTGTTACGCACAGTACCTTGCCGAGGAATAGTCAAATATTAACCTTCTCCTATTACGACTATTAAGGAATATTTTAGTGGATCATACAATCTGTGTAACTCAGAGACCCTTTTAAGTTGGACGTGTCTACCGTGAAACACTATACCTCTGGGGTCTTTTTAGGATTCCGTACCCAAAGGGTAAAACGGGACCCTATTACTAAGAGTCCGCTGTCTGTTTGTTCCTCTGTCAACAGGCTGTATTTCATGAACCGTGATAGTTACACAGTTGAAATTTGATCTGGGTATTTGTTTTCCAAGGAGGGTTGACGTCAGGCAGGCGGGTGATTGTAAAAATATAGCCAAAACCGCTAACAACATGATTCATGTTGTGCCGAACCCACCGAGGAGGCAGGAGGATGATGATTGTTGTATATTGATGATACTTGTATACTTGTCCCTCTATTTTAAAAGTTCGCGTCAAACGAAGTCCTTTGAAAAAGGCTATTACACTTTCGGATGTTGGTTAAAAATGTCCAGATAGTGATTGATTATTTGTCAAAACATTTTTATTGGCTGTGCTCCTCAATATTGGGGAGACTAACTTTTCCAGAAGCACAGCACGCGTTTTTGGTTTTTGGTTCATCGACCCATTTTTTGGCAGACACTTACAGCAGATCTTATTCATTGCTCCGATTTGGACGGAAGACTGTTGAGCTTAATGCATTAATGCTGATCTGTTACTGTGAGCTAAAAGTCGATTACGAGCTCTAGTCGTTGACGTTTGTTGTCTTTCTCTCTCATCTCGTAGGCGTTGGGAACGCTCAGAGCTCGATTCCCGAGTGTGAATTTGTATATTTATATTATTTTGCTCTTTAAGCCGCTCTACTTGACTCTCTCTGACTTATAAGACGATTTACACTTTCCGGTAAAGATTCTTCATTACGGCGTATTTTTGATGTCCTCGCCTGGGAACTATCTCTAAAAAGATGAGATCTTGATCTTTTGTCCATTTTAAAATGATAAAAAAAATTAAACTGCCTTTGTACTTAAATATTTGCTACCTGTTAAACAGGAATTACCAGTATAAATGTGATTGAAAAATTATAAGAACCACTAAGTCAGTCACTAAGCTGTTTGGATAGTTAAATTACAATATACTAACATTTTTAAACTTGCAATATCTAAGGAATGGAATGTCCGAATTAAATAACTCAAAAAGTTTTATAAAGGTATTGAAATAGTCTTAAATATGAAGTAATTTATTTTTATATGGATTAATACCAAGATACAAATAAACAGCCTTTGTTAGCGGCGGCATTTCAATCAAAATTTTAAAATAAAAGAACACTTATTGTGGCATAACTATAATAGTTAGACATATGCTCTCGCGACACTTTTTGGAAATAATAATGTGTTCTGCAAATTCATAGTATATTATTTTATTCTATCATCAATAGTTTTCGCAGCGCACGCGATGTAAAGAATATTTTAGGTAATTTTTGTACACTTTGGGTTACATTATTGAAGTTTTAGAAAGGATCCCTATTTTTTTGAAAATATAATATAGCCTATATCAAGCGGGAATAATATAGCTTCCCAACAGTGAAAGAATTTTTCAAATCGGTTCAGTAGTTTCGGAGCCTATTCAATACATACAAACAATCAAATCTTTCCTCTTTATAATATAGATTAAGATGAACATGTACTTAAACATTTTACGGTGGTAGGGCCACGCAGCAGCCTCGGCTGTTGCACGAATGGGCAGACCCGTCCGGGTAAGTACCACGACCTCACAGAAGACCAGCGTAAAGTGGAAGTATAATACTTTCGCGTTTCGTCTGGTGAGTGAGGTGGCCGGAGCCCAATTTTCAAAAGGTTGTCAACGCATCTGTAACCCTCTGGTGTGGCAGATGTCCATGGGCGACGGTATTCACTTAACATTAGGTGAACCGTCTGCTCGTTTGACAACTTTTCGCATAAAAAAAAAACTTAAACATACGCTTGCTTCTAAACTTCTTGTTTTTCCAACGTTGCTAGAACTCATACTATAATGAAAACATTTGGATTTTATTCACGTCATACATACGTCACAAAACGTCTTCTCAGTTATTTTTACCACAGTTGAAGGAGTTCAACCTGAAATAATTATTTTTAAATTTTTAAAATTTTTCTTAAATATTTTAATTTTTTTCAGTAGAAATTCATGAAATTGACTTAAAAATGATTATCCCATAATGTCTTATAAATTAACCTTTAAAAATTACTTAAATATTAATCCTAAAGTAATTATCCTACTATTACTACAGCATTAAGCTGTATAAAAAAATAATCTGTCAGTGTCAATGTCAAAAAAATTCAAATTAGGTTATGGATTAGGATTGTCATTCTAGTTCACTTAACCTAAATATTAATTATAAAAATAATAATATATATAACAAGATGTCTAATAAAACTTTGTTTCTTAAGTCAGGTTTTGTCCGAGCGCCTCTACAAAATGGGGTCGGACGGTACGTTTGCCAGCTGCAGAGAGTTGTATTGAAGTTCTGCAAGAGCCATGGAGGCAGCAGAGGTTTACGGTAAAGAAAACAAACATAAAATTATAACACCAATTCGAAACTAATTATGTAGCTATTAATGTTATTATATTAAGGTAAAGGTGACTGAATCAAGTGTATAATTTTTGCAACACTTTTTTTGCTATAAAGATTCTTTGTGTTAAAGATCGATAGGGATATGAGAACTACAAAATTGTTCTACCTAGCATTGATTTGCGGCTTATATATCCGTACCCATATCAATGATATTTAAAGAATTTCACTTTCATAACAAAATGTTAAAAAGTAATAGGTTAAGTGCCATTAAGATTTCCTTTATTGACATAATGATTGTGAAAATAAATTAAAAGATATGTTTCAGGGAATTCATAGAGCAAGACTTGGTGGAGTTCGCATCGAATAATCCCAGCATTGTGGTCTATTTGAAACCACGCAGACATCGTTCTCCAGTAATAGTTGGCGAATATTGTAAGCATATTTAATATACCATTTTATGAAAAAAATCTCTAAGATTTCATTCAATTGACATTTGGTAGCCCAAAAATTTTTGACCTCTGCAGTCCATTATGTTTAAAGCAGGTGATCTGATTCATGGTTGCCTTTTGTTTAACAACCATGTTAGTCACACATTAATATAAGTTTTGATGGATATAAAGTAAATGTGTGAGAATGAGCCAGCACCCCATTAATAACTCTTGCTGCACTTAAGCTAAAAAAGAAATAAAAATGATACAGTGTATTTATACAATTAAGAATATTTTTCTTACGAGAATAGCCATTTCATAATATTGTACTTTATCCTTCTCTAAGTCTATTACAATTCATGACAAAACTGTAAAATTTATTTATGACATTTGTTTTAAACAAAATTATGTCTGTATTGAAATATATGCTACTTAGATTTTTTACTTAACAACACTGGACTATATTATATAGTATACTGTGTTATGGGTCTGCAAATCGTATACAAAAATGTTATATTTCAATAGGGTAGATCAATATTTTTCTTTTTAATTTCTATCCTACAGTCATCCCTTCTGAAAATTAGCAGTCACTGTGGCGTTAATGCTAAGCTGTTGGCTTCGGTGCCTTGCGTTGTGAGTTGGATTTCCACATGCAACAAGTATTTTTCTGATCTACAAAGAATATTTGAGATGATGATTATATGAACAAACAACTGTACTTCCAGATCTGAATGAACAAACCTGACCAGTGCCATGATTCACATGCTGTGGTTCCCACACCAAGGTGGGATTAGGGCAGGAGTATGATAATGATGTTGATGTATTCTTTACTTTCTATAAAATACTATATACAGCTTATTTTAAAAGATATTATAATCAGCATCAGGCTGTTGTACTCCCCTAATCCAGTTGGCTCTCACATGCCACAAGAGCAGGATTTGAACAGGAATTTAGAAAGCAGTGATTGGAAAACATAGTAATATTATATTTGCATACAAAATATGAGATAATTTAATTTCTTTAATCAGACTTATTCTATACCAGTTAATGTATGCAATGGTTTGCATATTTACCTAAACAAAATATGTCTGTTTTTGTTTACAGTAAACGGTGACAGAGTGTGGATGAATATGCACAACAAGACTCATTCAGAGATAACTAAATGGATCGAGGTGCTGAGGACCCAACAGGGTGACGTGGCGTCCACCCGCCTCCGAAAGAACCAGTACACCGACCACCCCTCCATCCAGGGGCCCTGGACGCCGTTCACGTTCAAAGACCCGAGGCTGAACATCGCGGAGCTGCCAGACGAGGAGTTCGGTGCGAACAACAGGCTGCCCATGACTGCCACAGAGCAGCTAAAGATCATGTTCGAGAAGAAAACGTTGAACATTGAGCCGCAGAAAGAGTAAGCTACAGCCAGAATATAGCAATAGGAAAACTGGAATGTTGAGGCAGATACGTGAAAACTAAACGTAAAAATTTCAGGATAACATTTACTTTCAACAGTGAGAATGTAGAAGAGAATTGGTTGATTATTTAGTTTGTGTATTACGTATGTGTAGTGTATGTTACGGAGACTGTGAAAAGCACTTGTTGTTATTTCTACATTAATAATGTTTGTAGAATTTGTAAATAGATTTAGCCAAAACTAGATTAGGCTGAGATAATAAATAACAAATTGTTTTAGAATAACATTTTTTTTTTTTTCATTTACCTAATTGTCAATTTCATATATGTCCATTATATAGACGATTTACATAGAATTAGAGTAGCTATATATAAAAAAAAATGTTGTATGAAAAGCATTCAGTTAACCCTTAGTCGCGCCCAAAGAAATTTTATTTGAACAAAGTCAAATTGTGGAATCAATGTTTAAATTTTACAACATGGTATATTGTATTAGCTAATAAAAATTGTAGAAACACTAACACCCCATTTGTGAAACATTGTCGCCCGGTTCCTGTAACAGTGCTCAATGTAGAATTTAACTAATTTGAGTTGGATGCTTTTGAAACATGATTCACAGCCAATTCCACTATGAACATATTAAGCAATAAAAAATCTGAGATATATAAAAACTTTAATATGCAACAATGATTTTCAACAATAACCATTCCAACAACAATTTCACTATTTAATCTTAACCAACATATCACAAAACAACTTTGCTTTCATCTCTTGATCTTAAATTCCTTCCCTTGGTGTACCATGCCATAATTAAAAAAAAAATGTGTGCGTGTACTGGCGTACACTCGTAAGAAGTGAAACTTTTTTATGACGTTATTTTTCAAAAAATAATTTACTATATGCAACTTTACAGAAATTGGTTAAATAAAGTTAAATTAGATAAAGTTTAATAAAAGGCTTTTATTATCATAGACATAAATACAAATTCTACAATTATTTAATTTTAGCTTTGTATAATATTTAGTTTCTTATTTGTAATACATAGGTGGCGTTAGTAATAAATTAAAACACACTATGGTTTGACCGTTGTAATTAGTATGAGGGTCCGCAAAAATTGTTGCTTAAAAAACTTGCAACGTGAACCTTGTTTATATCAATTAACCTCACGGTCCCAAAATACAACCGCTTTGAATTTGTACATGGTCCTTCGTTGCCGAATAGTCAGCCAGTGAGTAGAAGGCAGACATTCGATTCGCGCGCCAGTGTTGTGAGTGAAGTTTTTTTGGAAAACCGAACTTGCGCACGTTGGATCGACGTCGCAACCGCAAGTTCCAAGAGCCGATCGAGGCTTCGAAGAGCATCATCGGTCAGCTTCAGATTGTGTCTTCGGTGGAAGGCGCAGTCAGGTCACGGTAGGCGGTGCCTGCCTTTGGAGAAGAGGAAGTCTCTACAGTTTCGTGCCTGAAGTGTTAGAGCTAGCACTGTCATTACTACAAATATTATTATTGAATTTCATTAATTGTAATAGAATTATTACTATCATTGATGTCGTTATTATATATTTGTGTTATTAATGCATAAATAATTTGCCGGCTGTTCTACGGATGAAACAAAGTTTTAGAAGACCGGCGACGAATAGTATCTATACATTAACTTATCATCTGGCGCGAGGTAATAGGAGCATGATAAAGGTTAGAAACGTAATTCAAGAGCCTTGGTGTGGAAGGCACTGCAATCACTTAATTGTCATAAAAAAACATAGTTTAAGTATAGTCCGAGTACTGTGTATTCCTCCTCTCTACAGTGGGTTTTAATCCATAATCCCCTGCGGATTGGCAGACTTCACACATCTTATACACATTTTCTTCTTTATTCAAAAAAGGCCATTGTTCCGATGGTCCTTTACCGCCTCAATTAGCATAATTATGATAAGGCTCCGGGATTTGAACTCTGGTTAGGTATATACGAGCGCCCGAACTGAGCTATCGCGGAACAATTCTTTCAAGTTCTTTGTAGTAAAATACTGATTTATCATTAGATAATAAATGTGAACAATAGCAATGGTTTAGAATGAATGCTTCAATTTGATGTTTATTACACAGGTTTCTCTTTATTATAACCGGTGTACCACCATTGCCGCATCACTACAAAGTCTTGTAAGCACCCAACTTTTTCAGTATTTAATCCTCGACCTAAGGTATTATTACTTGTTGTATAAATTAGACTTCAATAGAATTGTCCCGAGTGCTTCTCTTCCGCTTGTGGCCGCTGTTCTTCATGTGGATCTTGAGGTATCGGGGTGATTTGTAATTCTTGCCGCAGATGGTGCATTTGTGCTCCAGTCCGTCGGAATAGTGAACGCGGCGCATGTGGCCTAGCAGGTAGGACTTGCATTTGAGTATAGACTTGCAAATGTAACATTGGTAAGATCTGACGCTGTGGCAGTTATTCTTGTGCGTCTTCAATGCCCCGGGGCAGCGGAACGTCTTGTCGCATTCGTCGCAGGGCAGTTTTTGGTCGGTCACGCATGTCCGCCATCTGGGCCGCACACTGTCGTGAGCGTATTTTTCATGCTTCCGCAGGTAGCTGCAACAATTTCGTGTGTCTACTTAATGCAGTATATTTATAATTTTCTAAGTGTCACTAACATATACAAAACTACAGCTCCTTAACCTTTTACTTTATTGGTGTTCCATAGCTTTCATAACTTTTAGAGTTTTACATAACAAATTTTTGTAGATAAAGGAACACTACCTTTTGGCGTTGCTGGATTCGAACCTGTGTGTCTTCTGGATTTATTTATTTATTTATTTGCGCTCAGTCGCTTAATAAACTAAGCTAAGATGCCGATGGCCATACTGTACGAAAATCTCCACATCTATCTACGTTCTTTCTACTGTGTTTATAAGAATGCATATGGAATATATTTAGTATTACAAGTAAAAGTGTTAAGCCCGGATTCTGAAACACTGATCACTGTTGAAATTAACTAATCAGCTGTCAAGTGGCTTCTCAAATGCCATGTCAGTTAAGGACCATTTGTGAAGTCATTTGACAGCCGATTAGTTAATATATATGTTGATCAGTGTTTCAGAAACCGGACGATAATCTTTCCAAATATTTGATACCGTGTAGTTATTAGCTACCTGGGACATTTGAAGACCTTGTCGCACTTTGAGCACTGTATGCGCCGCACAGTGTGCACCTGCTTCATGTGGCCGTGCCAGCTCTTGTACGGCAGCACCTTGTCACACACCTTGCACCAGTGGTGAGATTTTGTAATCAGTTCACCAGATTTCATTAAACACCTTGGCTTATTGTGTTCCAGGTTAATGTGGTAGATTAATTGGCTTTTTGTTGTGAAACTGTTCAAGCAGTGGCTGCACTGGAAGATTGGGAGCCGTTCAAGTATTACTTTCAGGTGCTGCAGGTTATGTTTGTAAAGCGAATGACTGAAATGATAATGCAATTTCAGCTGTAGCAAAAATAATATGTACTCATATATCTACTCTACAGATTTCAGTAATTTGTGAACACTAATATACGAAGTACTACAAATAGTGACATGTGTTTCAATAGTGGACAAAATAAAATAATTAATGAAAGATGTCATACTTAAAATAATCCTCGATTTAAATATGTCAAGGGTGGTCAAACACATTATTATGAAATAAAGTTGAAAATTTAAATAAGACCTTTATGAATGTAATCTGTACTGTCGTCTTAATACCATAGATAGACAAGATCCATGTCCATGCACACAGAGCAGCTGCACTAATATATTCAACCACCGGTCAATGATAAGTTTAAGTCCAGAATTTACTGTCCTGACTTCTCGAGTCATATAAAGACTAATCAAGTTATACAATTACCGATCAGAGAAGTTTCTGCTGCAGGGATGGCATTCATAGTAGATAGTTTCGCCATAGTAGGTAGTTTCGTCGAAACGTCTATCTATTTCCTGCAATAGAACCTTGTTCTCCGTACACCAATCGTCGCCTAACATCGCGTTACCGTTTTCAATTTTTACATTGACATCCAAGTGCATTTGCAAAAGATCCAAGGCGTTGTCAGAAAAGTCTATGTCGTGCTCTTCTTTAATTATAACGCTTTCTGTATACTCCATATCTGATTTGATGGAACGGGTGTTTAAAGAATAAATGTTATATATGGTAAAAGTGTATAACTATGTGAATTACTCGAAAGTTGTTCAAATGCCAAACATAGAAAATTCAAAATTGAAAACACCCGCACCGACTGTCATTAAGACATTAACAAACAAAGTTGCTGTCAAAGTCAAGCGAAGTTCGTTCAGAAATATTATTGTAAAACTCGAGTTAATCGCATGATACAGTATAAAGAAAATATTAATCAAATGATAAAGCCAACAAAAATATTTGCCAGAAAAGATAAAATATTCCAATTGGATAATAACTTAGGGCAACAACGTAAGACATTTAAATAAGTAAATAAATATTTTAGGACACATTTTTACTCAACATTCTCTAGTCCCAAACTAAACAAAGCTTGAATTATGGGCACTAGAAAACTGATAAACATTCTTAAACATACTTTTCTTTTTTAAATAAGTACATATTATACACATTTAAACACCCAGACACTAGAAAAACACCATGTTCTTCACACAATATTTTTCTAGTAGTAGGGATCGGATCCACACCCTCGGGCGCTGGAGTTAGGTTCACTCTATTTTATTATTACACATTATTTTATTACTGTTCTCATATTTTAAATTTCTATTTACATCAAGATTCATGCTTATCGATGTTTTTTTATTTATCAGATTGAAGTCTAATCAATCTAGAATCATGTTTCCGTGACGGAATTCACCCAAATACATTCTTTCATATCAATCTTTGATTAAAAAGTAAAAGAAACATTCGGGGAAAAATTAAGTATTTATTTTTCATAATTCAACTGTATTTTTCACGAACAGTGAGCGTTGGTAAATAGTCTATTTCTTTAACAAATTCGTCGTAATCGCAGCAGAAGCTGTGGGCTCCGTCGCGTGGCCTCCATTTTAGCCAAGTATAATTGCCGTTGCCATTGCAAACGTCACTGCAGAAGGTCAACTCGTCTACCATACTTTTGTTGTAGTACGACGAGTTGATAGAGACAAAAGCCACAGCTTTCAGTTCTTTGGGGTCGTACACCAGCTGAAATATGATTAACGTAACATTTACATATACGGTAATCACGTAAACATTTCATGTAATGAGAACCTGTAATGTAAAGTAAAAGTAAAAAAAGTTAAGTATACATGTCGGTAGATACACGATGTTTTCCTTCACCGCTGAGCACGTGATAATACGGCACTTAAAATTAACAATTTCAACAAATCGAGGGCAATCCTCAAATGTTATTGGTATTATCGATGTTTTTTAGATAGGGTTTGAAGTCGGTTTATTTTTTGTTAAAAATTATTTATTTCTTAAACTACTTACAACCTTTCAGAGAGGAGGCCCAGTAAGCAGAACAAAACGCAAAAGTATAAATACTTCTACACTTTCTACGACCTTCTGTGAAGCCGTGGTACTGTCTGCGTGAAGGCTCACTCCATTAATGCGAACAATTTATGAAGTTTTGGGTGAAAAATACCTTATATACATTCAATTCATATTCTAATCTAATGGAAAAATTGACGCTGGCGATTGTTCCACTCTTTTGCTATACGCAAACGAGGAACGTCAACAAAAGAGATGGGAGGACATATGAGTAAGGAATGAAGTTAGTTATTTACTACTACTCAACGAACCGCCGAAAGTCTTCATTTGGGACTTGTTAAAACTTTGCTTTTATTATGCGTCACATTAAGGCCTGAAGCATATAAGTGAATCACACCTTATAATAATACAGAGGTACGGGCACCACGCCATTATTGTTTTCGTCGACATGCAGGAATAGCTTCTGCTGCTGGTTGTGTTTATCAGGTAGAGTGCTGACTCCGTGGGTGCCAGTGTATACAACCATTTTTCTTCCAGAACTGGTCACGCGACGGCGCAGCGCCTGCATCGTAAACAAACTTAGCATTTTGACTTCACAAAACAACAGGAATATTCCCGTGGCACACGTGAGCACTGTGCAAATGATTAAAATTTTTATTTTGTCGGTAAAATATATCTTTAGATATACTTTTTTATTCATAAATTATTTTTCTTGATAAAGTCTGATTTCATATAACACATCGTTCATATTCAGATTCAGATCAAAAAGTTTGCATTTAGCATCTTTTTTATCGTGTAAAAGTAAAAGTACAGCCAATACATGTCCCACTGCTGGGCAAAGGCCTCCTCTATACAGAGGGTATCAGGGCATCATAGTCCACCACGTGGCCCCACTGCGGATTGGCGGACTTCACATATTTTCGAAATACATTTTTTTTTTGTTATTATTTCGAAAATATGCAGGTTTCCTCACGATATTTTCCTTCACCGCGGAGCACGTGATAATTCATCACTTAAAGTTAAAAACTTCATTGGTGCCGGCACCGGGGATCTAACTCAGGTTGCTCGAGTACATATTGAAATAAAGGCGAGCGCCCGGACACTGAGCTATCACGGCTCTGTTGTATCGTGTTGCTCCGACATTTTATGTGTACCTACATGTAATGTGCCCTACTAATGACGAAATCTGAAGTACGCTTTCTTTTAGTGTCGTATAACATAACGTATATTAAACGGAGTACTGGCTGTGGTGGTTTTCGGATTTCACTCACATCCTCCAACGCGGCCCAGTCACCGGCGTTGCCCCTCAGCCACTGCGGGGCTGCGTTGATGTAGTGGAACGAGGCTCGCTGCATAGCTCTCGTGGTAAAGTCGGCTCTCGGCGCCAGATGACCTCGAGTGAGGAACTGTCCAATAACCTAATTAGTATCTTTTTCTTGTCGGTTCGTATCTGGAGCGTTCTAACACTTACGCCCGGTTACAGAAACACTGATCATCGTAGAAGTCAACTTCGTGCAACAGCTCTATTCAAGCTACTACAATGCGGTTATGAACACTGACGCCCGGTTTCCTTCCGTGTCGCAGTTACCAAGGTATTGGCTTCGGTGTCGGGGGTCGTGGGTTCGATTCCCACACGGGAAACCTATTAATGTTTGTAAACCGTCCTTACAACACAGGATAATGTTATCCTAAAGTAAGGCAATGATAAAAAACAAAAAACTTCCACTTCGCCCTGGTCTTCTGAGAGGTCGTAGACCGACTGCCCTGCATATTGATTCAATGAAAAAGTACTAAAAAGACACTGGCGTTTGTGTATCTTACTTTTGATAATCTCAAACCCATTTGTCCAAATCTATAGAAACGATGTGGTAGATAATCTCTGACGCCATCGTTCGAGGTTCGAATGTTCCCAGGGCGGCCTGGACTTTTTGACGCCATTTATGCCACGCAACAGTCTTCGCTGTTGCATGAATGGACATGTCAGTGCAGGGAAGCACGACGACCTCGCAGAAGACCGGCATAAAGTTGAAGTGTTAAACTTGTGCGTTTATCCTGTTGAGTGAGGTGTCCGGGGCCCATTTTATCAAAAGGCGGCAACGCATCTGAAACCCTAAGGGTGATACATACTTTCATTGGCGGTTATCAATTAACATCTAGCTTGCTGTCTTACTTACATTAAAAAAGCCATTACTTGATTCCTGGTGATGTACCGCTGGTCCAATCCGCTACCGAGGAGCTGGTTGATACGTGCTCTCTGATTGCTCCTTGCGTAGACGTCAGACATTCGCACCTTACCGAACAAGCCCGTTTCTGCATAGTTTAATGGTTGTTTAGAATTTAGAATGCATAACAAGTCAATTTCTTATTAACGAAAAGCAAAACCGACTTCAAATATCTCGCTCTGTATTCATTTTACAATTGATTTTCAGGAGTTCCCTTCGAGTCTCCGGAGCCCAAGATCCAATGCCAATGAAATTAATATCATAATATCATGACCACATGGGAAGCACCAGATTTCAAATAAAAAAAGAATATTCAAAATTGTTTCACTCAGTCGAAAGTTCTGAGTTAACAAACATAAAAAAAATACAGTCGAATTGAAAACCTCCTCCTTTTCTGAAGTCGGTTGAAAACCACAGAGATCGGGAATCCAAACGCATATCCACACTTCAACAAAAAATACATGGTCCCTTAACTACAGGACTGAGCCCATCTCCGGCTTGATACAACAGGATTTTATTTAACTCACCGATGAAAGTTGGTCTTTTGCCACCACGCTGGTAGAATTCGATTTCTGGTGACAGCACGTGCTGAACGTACAGTGTAGTGAAGAGTCTCTCGTCAAAGCATGCCCGGTACAACGTGTAGAACTCTCCATTGACCCGGTAGCCAATTCTAGAAGGATTTCGCAAGACTTGTTTTTTGTATGGAAGGGGGTATGGTAACCAACGACCACTTACGACTTAGAAAGATCTATTGTAGTCTTCCTTTCGAAAACATTGCATCCTTATAGTTCTATAACATTATCTCGTGTAATATATGTAATACCGATATCTGATAAAAATACTTAAACATACTTTTCTTTTGTAAATAAATACACATATAAACGCCCAGACACTAGAAAAACACTATGTTCATCACACAATATTTTTCCAGTAGTGGGGATCGAACCCGAAGGGTTATGTTTTTCGAGAGTATGTATGTATGTATATTTATTTGGCACGCTCTGCAACCTAATCGACTTGATGTATTTTAGCTTGAGAGGTGTCGTTAGATTTGTATTTACTGTGAGAGTGACACTGAGTGTATCAAAATAAAAAAAAAACAGAAACGCAGTCAGGTTTTTATTTTTTTTAAATTATATTATACTTCTTATATTAAGACCGTGGTTATTTTTTTATCTTTTATAAACATTTGCCTTACTTTAAGGTTAAAATTGTCCTCTGTTGTAACATAAGGACGTTTTACATATAATTCACTCACGTACATCACACAGAAAAGTCGGCAGAGATTTCTCCTTATCACATCTTATCCATCTACCACCACTTACGTATGATTGTTGGATTTAATTGAATGGAAAATGGATTTGTGCCATCTAGTATTTTAGGGACCTGCGAGTGATTCATGTATGTAAATGCATGTAAATTGCTCTTATAAAACAAGATAACAGTTTCTTACAATCCGAATATTGCTTTACCAATTTTACGAAATGGAAGGCTCAACCGGGGAAGTACCACGGCCTTACAGAACACCAGCATGAAGTGGATTATACAGATCATCTGTAGAGTGAGGTAACTAGGGCCCACTCTTTTAAAGGTTGTTAATGAATCAGACGTTGTGATGTGGGCAGTGGAAATAACGCAACATCATCTTGTCACATCTCAAAATTGCATAAATTGCATAATTTTTTTTCTTGTGGTCGACCCACGCAAATGTTTCTGATTTTACAGTAGACCGACATAAGGTAGAAGTTAAACTACTGAATTTTGCCTGGTGGCATCGGAGCTGAAAGCCACAACAGTACTGTCGATGAACAGGTTATAGGAGTTATGTCAGGAGGTGGATGATGTTAACTGATGACCGCCGCCCATAGACATTTACAACACCGTAGCGTAGGGTTGCAGTTTCGGTGTTCGTTTCAACAGAAGAAACGGGGAAATGTAACACGTCCACTTAACGCCGGTTTTTTTTAAGGTCTGAGTACTTCCCCGGACTTACCTGCCCATTCGTATAACAGTGAAGAGTATAGCGTGGCCCTACCACGGGTAAAACGGGTGCTCTTTCGAAACCTCGCCTTATAATATTAGAGCACCTGTAAAGCGTGTGGTCTCCGCTGCAGGTGGCGTTAGTGGGCTCAACTGTGAACCATGGCGTTGCACTGCATCGTATCCCTCTGAAATCCCCCGCCCATCGACCAGCACGGAACACCTTACCCGCTGCACATTGCACCGTCTGCGGACGCAATAGTTACACTAAATTTCTCTCTTTCTTCTACTCTTATCCCATCAATGGTTCTGCCCGATTTGTGAACCCTATTCAAGTTATCGGCTAGCTTCAGACCGGCTAGCTGCCTGAGTTTAACTCTTGAGAATAAATACCCTGATACGGAACAATTATCTGTGAGTCACACAAATACTTGTTCCGTTCCACGACCCCACCACTGAAGTTAATATCTAAGCAATGCTTGGTGCAAGATTTTCGTCGCTGTGGCTATCAGCCATTTAGCTCAAGTGGCTAGAGCGTCAGGCCGCGAATGCCGAAGACGTGGGTTCGATTCCCACAGCAGCGACAATCTTTTTGTACTTTTTCTACATGTTTTAATGTTCAATCTGATGTGCAGAGATTAGCACTATAAAAAACTTTGAAATTTTGAGACGTTTTTAAATCATACTTTTCATGAGTTTTGTTACTCATTTTCGAACCTAAGTATATTACTCATTTTAAAGTTTTTGCGTTTAAACATTTAAACTCAAGTAAAATATAATTAATTCGCTTATTTAAAAAATGCTGTTTTTCCCGAAGTATTTTAAGAAATAAATGAAAACTTACCACAGCATCGAAGTCCGTGACATCTTCCCCTAATACTACAAATCTATTTTTTCCCGGGCAGCCCACGAGCAACGTTTCCGAACGCTGAAGAGATATGTCACCAGATCGTGTATTAGGCGTTAAAAAGGCGCCATTTTTAACGAATACCGGCGATGGGCTGCCGAAATCGTCCTTGAGGGATAAAGTGCAATCTATGGAGAATAGAAAGAAAATCTAAAAATATTCATACATCTTTCTGAATAAAAATATATTTTTTTTTAATGTTAGATGGTGGTAAGTGATCTGGCGGTTCACCTGATGTGCAGTAATTTAAAGTATATGCAACACTCGTATGGTTAGTAGGCGCTATGGTATGCAAATTTAAATAAAAATTCGTCCGTGTGGCAATCAGCCGTTTAGCTTAGTGGCTAAAGCTTCAGGCCGCGAATGCCGAAGACGTGGGTTCGATTCACACAGTGGCTACAATTTTTTCGTACTTTTTCTACAAATTTTAATGTTTAATCTTAAGCGCAGAAATTAGCACTATAAAAAAATTTGGTAAAAATTTCCAAAAGTTTCCGGTTGGTCGAAAACACCAAACAAAAATTGTATTCGGTTAAGAAAAATCACTAATGAAATAATCAACAAGCAGAATTTGGCGGTCGCTTATAGTTTACGAGAAAAAAAAATATTTAAAACTTATTATTTTCACTAAATTAATCCGCCATTTTGTGTTTGACAACATGTATAACTTTGCGAATTCACACACTTTTCCAAATTATAACCTTCGCATTATTAAAAAAGAGTCTTTAAAAGTACTTTAAAAGTACTGTTACAAGGCTAACCTTCTAACCTAACCTATCCGAGTCGGATCGCTCTGTGTCGGATCTGTCACTCTTTAAATTAAAAGAAAATTAATCTTCGCCCACTTCCTACATTTTTCATGTAGGCAGGACTGTGTATTCAGTTTTTGAAGTCAAATTGGTAAAAATGGTGAACTTTCTTAGTGAAAATTACGTTTTAAATAATTTTTTTTCTCGAAAACTATAAGCGACCGCCAAATTCTGCTTGGTGAGTATTTTATTAATGATTTTTCTGTACCTAATTACATTTTTTTTACGTCGAACAACACCCGGAATCTTAAAGAAACTAATACCAAAAATTTAAACATTTATTTATTATTTAATATTCACCAAAATGGAATAATGTAACCTGAATAATATTCAATTGCACAAAAGACAGACATCAATCTAAAACAAATTGAACTTATGCGTCAAAATTAAAAAGTATAAGTTACACGAGCAAAAATAATATTCGCTTTAAAGTATTTAAAGAATTTAAGATGTTACAATAACAATAAATCACTGTATTATTGAGAATATAAAGTAACATCTTAGATACCGGAGCGTTAGTACGTTACAGTGAATTTCAAGAGAAAGCTCACACTAAGATGATAAATGATAATTGAAATACATAGGCTGTTACTTACATTTACTTTATGGTTTAACATTGCATGTTGTGAAAAATTTCCGAACATCTATTTTTATTAGATTTATTTTGTAATACGAGTGGAGTCCATAACAAAGTTTATAAGTTCATAAAATTTCAAATCCTACTGTTTCTTGCTTTCTCCTTGTTGTCAAAGTTCGTCGTTAACCAATGAGTGAAAATAGCAAAGTGAAGTGTATTTTCGACTGGCGTACTAAGGGGCCTTAGTTCAACGGTGGACTTTATATTTAACTAGCTGCTGCCCGCGACTACGTCTGCGTAGAATAGGCTGAAGGCGTAACATTCAGACAGAAAGACAGGTATACATAAGATATGTATATTAATTATAGCCTACCTGTCTTATACTGATGTATAAGCTATATTATTGTAAAGTTTCTTTAACATCCATTCAGTAGTATTTGCGTGAAAGAGTAACAAACATCCATCCATACATAGAAACTATCGGTTTATAATATTAATATTTAATTATAGATTAACCTTTAAATTGCCTGAACTGGTGAAATAAATAACACTTCGTCCATCAGTCATCGCTGTTGGAACTTAATTCGGCTTGTTGAAATATTGTACCGATTTCATTTTTCGGAAACGATTACAGGCGATCGTTAATTAGTTAATAATACAGTAATTTGGTTTTGATTTCAAGGTCGCACGTCTATGATACCACTTTTTTATATATATTTGTCTTAATTCTAGACTGATGCTCAGAAATATGATTTAATTACTGGCAATTATAATCTGTGCCACTAGGTCAAGCGCTTCGTAAATGCACGCGATTTCATATTTTGTTAAGAAAAGACTATCTACTTAAGTATACTAAATACTTAAGTAAATTCAAAGTCGGCGACCTGGCCTTACTCGGGAGTAAGGCCGGGTCGCCGACGTTGAATTTCAAACGCGATATATGTTAATTATGGTAGAAAGTATGGTATGTAAGAAAGTGGTGGCCCTGTAGTGTCGGGCTTATAGAATAGGGCTAAGGTATACCTTGCCTGTCGTAAAAGATCCCGGAGTCCCTCCAAACGTACAGGTGGCCACCGAGGGGGATTTAGTGGGTAAAAACCCCACATAACCTTGTCATGTAAGGTAAGGTTTCTTTCCAACGCCAGATTCGACGGTGGTAGGGCCACGCAGCAACCTTGGCTATTGCACGAATGGGCAGGCCCGTCCGGGTAAGTACCACGACCTCACAGAAGACCAGCGTAAAGTGGAAGTATGACAAATACTTTCGCGTTTCGTCTGGCGAGTGAGGTAGGCGGAGCCCAATTTTCAAAATGTTGTCAACGCATCTGTAACACTTACCATCAGGTGAACCGTCTGCTCGTTTGGCAACTTAAAAAAAAAGATATAATAACTGCTAGGAAGTGGCATCATCAAAGATGCCTTATTGAGATGCCTTAAGTGTGAGAATGACGGAGTATATAGGCGCAGTAGTTCCAGCCAGCCGCTAGGCCACAACAACGTAGTCTATTTCATTGTAATAGAGACGCAGTAGCTGCTAGCAAGCTCATCCGGGGAAGTACATTCGCCTGACGGAAGACCGGCGTGAATTCGGAATGGTATGATTTTGCGAATCGTCGATAAACAAAACATTGGGTGAACCGCCCGCTTACTAGCCTATCACATTAAAAATAAAATATAACCATCAGCCCACCTAGGTGGCGTCGGCAAATGAATCATGCTTTAAGCGGTTTTGGCTATGTTTTTACGACCAGCCGCTTGCCTGACGGCAACCCTCCTTGGGAAACAAATACCCAGATCCCGAACACAAAATACTAGTCCCGTGGGAATCGATACCACGTACCCCGACGCCATGATCCACGTAAGGCATTTCGATAAGGTCTAAATGTTTTCCCTCACATCTGCCACTCAGCCAGAGTGAGAGGCGACGTATTATTTGTAAAATTTGTATTTTAAAATATTGATAAAAATGTGTGAATAAAATTATAATAAGATATTTAATTATGTATGAAAAAATGAACAGAATTAATTCGTAATGACCACATTACGAAAGAATATAAATTTAAAATGAGCACCAATTAATCTTCCTTAAACTTTTATGTTCAAAAAATAGCGTGGAGCCGGACAGCAAAGCTAGTATTATAAAAAAAAATTTAAACCTTACCACTGCCTGTTCTGCTTGTTACCGCCAAAATCGTCAAGAAAACAAACGGGTCGCTCAAACGCCCCATGGCGCGTCCCAATCGATATAACAGTTATCGTAGCGGTAACATCAACATACGTTGCGTCACTAGTGACGGGCCTTGTATGGAACGAAACATTATCGATAGACCCACGTTGAAGCATGTTTTAAACATCAGCCATATTGTTCCGGCCTCAAAGAACACGTCCGCGTTTTAGGCTCATGGACAACCACGCGTGAAAGATAAGTGTCGCCGCCATACCTCTGGTTGATAGGACGCCCTCTAGTTGATAGGACGTTATCAATAAGTTCACTACACATAGTTCTAACACACACACAATCAATGATGCGACCTCGCCTATGAGCACGGCGTAACCATAATATCGCGTACACAAGGTGTACGCGCGTTCCAGGGAGGTAAGTAGGATCGGTTTATTAAATATGGTTGAATGTATCATCCCGAAAGGCATATCGTTTAGGGTTCATTTATTTATTGTCGTGTACCCAAATTTATGACTCTCTAAGAAGGATAGTAAAAGACGCTTACTAAGTAACTCTTACGCCCGGTTCCTATTCACAGAACGAGTCGTTTTCCTTACGGGCCGTTACATTATTCGAGTGATTGAAAGTATTCTAACATACAACGACGCTGCGCTATATATATTTTTTATATATAATTCGTCTGTGCGTGTGTATTTCACTGAACTCCCTAAACGGCAGGACCGATTTTAATGAAATTTTTTGTCTTCAGGTCGATTATTTTTTATTTTGGTTTAGATTCACTTTTTCAATTCGGTCCACTGCAGTTTTTTATCGGATTTAAGTCGTGGGTACAGGGACGTCTGTCTGGGCCGATAGTATATATACGTCAATCTGCCTACGCGCTATAAATGCGCCACAATTTGCATATATCAAACAACACATAAATGTCCAAACACGCGACGCATAATTATAAAGAATTTAAATGTTTAATACAACTTTAAAAAGTATAACACTATATGTGTGTTCATTTATTGTCGCGATGGTAACGACACGCTGTATACACACTAGCAAGGGGATTGCAATAGAAAAAACATCCTGTCACTATCCCACCTTTGTGGGGCCTGCAAAACATGCTGTGGGTCACACAACACGTTTGAAACATAACAAATAAAGAACCGGCCAAGTGAGAGTCTGACTCGCGCACGAAGGGTTCCGTGCCATTATTTATAAAAACGTCAAAAAAGCTTGTCTGTTCTATGGGGAGCCCCATTTAAATATTTTTTCATACTGTTTTTTAGTATTTGTTGTTTACCGGCAACAGAAATAAATCATCTATGAAAATTTAAACTGTCGAACCGTGATGGTTCATTAGATCAGCTTGGCGAGAGACGGACAGACAGAAAGACAATGGTCTTAGTAATAGGGTCCCGTTTTACCCTTTGGATACGGAACCCGAAGCATTTACTTTAGGTAAGTGTAGGCTCTCTTCTTGAAGGTCTACAAGTCTTATCTGGTAACACTGACGTCACACATCCCGCAGTTTTAGTCGCTGGCAGATTTTACCAGGACATTATATGAGAAATTCCTTAAAGATAGGTGGAAAAATTAAAAGTCACCTATATTTATACAAATGCTTTATTAACAAACTTATATTTACACAATTTACACAAAATTGTCCTTCAAAGAAATAAATATTTAAATAACAGGAACACAATATTAAATGTCCAATTAACAATAAAATTACACAGTTATTCCAGAATCTGTTTTGATTTCAAATCATTAGCAACAAAAAAAAATATGTGCGCATTTTAATTATTATTTTTACAATGTTTTTTTTCTTTGTTTTAATTCATTAAAATAATTTCAAAAAGTAATGAAACAACCCCTCATAATTCCTTTTTCTAGTAATTCTATTATCTAATAAAAACAGTCAGTCTACTTCTGAACGATGTCCTTAACTAGCAATGTTGAAACTTATTTGTTAGCAAATAGCCTACAATCTAGAGTTTACTGGGAGCCCAGAGAGATGGAATTTCAACTTATATTAATTTAGGATATTCTCTATTATTATTCAAGAAAAGGGGGAGGTTCTTAATTCGAAGTATTTTTATTTTTTTATGTGTGTTCAAGCCCCACAATTATGAAAATATTCCTCAATACCTCAGTCATGGTTCCGGGCGAAGTTATACAAGGCATATGGTATACCAGCACATGTTCTATCGGTGCAAAATACAACTCTATTGACATCAGCACTGGGATTACTCCTGTTACTACTCTACAATGATAATAAAAGCCACAGTGCCCAACTTCATTAATCATCACAAACCACTTTATTGTATTTCATTCGACATTTTCATATATCAGAGTTAATGTTCGACCGACTACAAAAAAAGATAGTTCTTACTTCACTTGCATTTTTTGTCTCCACAGAACTCCGTCATTTATTTAACGGATTATTTTGTTTTTTGCAATGTCTTCTCTTATTTTCGCAAAGACACCTGCAGCAGAATACTGAGATCGCCCGGTATCGGTAAAAGCTAACTTTACTGTGGTTGGTACCACAACCTCACAGAAGGCCAACTTGGCTAGTGAGGTTGCCGGGGCGCACTTAATTAAGAGGTGGCATCGCATCTGCAACCCTAAGGGTGATTGAAATGTCCATGGTCTTGCTATGTTGTTGCTGTATACAGCAAATAAACAGGCAATTATTGCGCGTTGATTAGAATAACAAATCTCATTTCCTAATGCTGTTGGGGTTCGAACCGATGCTTGATCAATTCTCACCACTAGGCCACCGATTTGAGTGACGATTTTAATTCATTGAAAACTTATCAATTGTCGAATGTCTAATCCATGTCTATTTGATTTTATTAGCGTATCCCTAAAACCTTAAAACAACCATCACACAAACACCCTGAGACACATTTATAGCATATAAAATGATAGACTATATTTTATAAAAACACAACCCGCAATTTATGATACACAATAACTTTTAAAAATATCAAAGAAATGTATATAATAAAAGCCCAACTACAAATATTAAAAAAAAATACTTAATATATTCTCAATTTCATGAAAAAAAAAAATTACACTTTTATCCCTTCCCAGTATATTCACAGTACAAAATAACAAATACATACATAAGCCACTGGTCAGAGTTTCCTATTTTCATGATTCCCGATTTGTCACATCCGTATCCATACATCTTAAATATACATTAGTAATTACATATTTACTATGTTAATTCATTAGATATAAGTATTTAATTAGAATGGAATCATACGATGCTTACATTCTACATGTAGTAGACTTGAAAATTATATCGATATATCCTGTGGCCTCAAGTATCAAGCCATGGTTTTCTAAACATTACACAATGCACCATCAACATACTCTAGAAATGTCGTCCAACGTATCCGTTTTTATGTCACATCTGATCAGTAATTTTATTTATCTCTTTTTTATTAAATTTTATGTTTCGAAACTTTAGCAAACAATAGATGCGACATAAAAAAGTATAACAGCATTCTAATCATTAGTATTGCAAAATATTCGGAACTGCGGAAATTTTAAAACAAATTAAACGCTTTGGAATTCAAAAACGATAATAATTAACCACATTTTATGGTCTTATACACAATATTTTTCTGCTATGGTTAAGCATTTTGAATATAGAAATGTCATACCCATACTGAGCAGTCAATAAGGATAAAATAAGTATATGATGTCTATTTCACCTTTATATACCGTGTGAAACTTTGAACATGATAATAATAATTGAGCCAACTCACTTTTAGACAATTGCACAACTTTAGGATGAATATTATAATACATTATAATATTAAAATCTATTACTTATGAATATAAATGCACAAATAAACTAGCTCTCCCTGCTTATTACTGAAGATATCGAAATATCGATATAATATATTAATATGACGAAAATTTAATAAAAATTCCGATATGATTCCTAAAATCATACGTTCTTATGTTAAAATTATTTTTTTTTTCATTATGTCTCATATTAAATGGGACATCTTTAGCTTAATGAATATTGTGATGTCTCTTAATGCAATACAGTCTAAGTAAAGAATAGTTGATAAATTAATTTTTCATTCTGTCAAAATGTCTACTCTTTGTTACATATCTTTCATTTCCTTTCTTCCTAAACCTTGGACAATATCTTTTATTATCCTGAAATTAATAATTACGTTCCTATCCTCCGTTCTCCACAACTTATCCTTAATAGCCGGATGCCCTATTAGACCATTCTACTGTGAATATTAAAACCGAACCAGTTGTACCCATCAGCTAGTACTCGTCTGCCATTATGAGGACTATGAGTGCTGTCCAGCCGGTGAAGGGTTTGCAGCCGGAGCCATGGCCATCCTCAGATGAGTACTGCTCCCAGAAGTACCCGGTGCGTTTGTACTCGGTGAGCACGTTGCCTGGAGAGAGAGGGACGGATGGTGTTATTATGTTAAGTATCAACACATCACTGCATAGTAAAAAACAAAGTCGTCCCGCTGTCCGTCTGTCCCTATGTATTCTTAGATCTTTAAAACTACGCAACGGATCTTGATGCGGTTTTTTTTTAATACATAGAGTGATTCAAGAGGAAGGTTTATAATTATGTATAATATATGGCTAGTTAACTTATATAATGGAATAGGTGACATCCACAAACAATAAGTGTAAATAATTTCAAACATTTTGTAAAAGCCACCTTAGGGAAGGCCTATTATAATATCAAGGAATACATTGAGGACAAGAGTGTGTGGAAATGACTCTTGCTCCGCACTTGCAAGTCGCCTGGCTCATGCTAATTTCATACTTAAATACTTTGTGTATATACTTATGTAATTCAAAGAAAAAATTTGGATAAAGAAATTTTGATTTTGATGAAACGAATATGGGGAGACGACGGACTCTTACTTCTTATCTGAATACAAGATGCCTGTTTGTTTATACAAAGAGCTTTTAAGAAGAAGTAGCTTAAAAGAGAGATAAAGATGCTTTTACCTCCCGTAAATGGATAGAGATTGGCTCGATGAATGTTAGTGGAATCAATCTGTTGTGGGAGACAGGGTGATAGTCTGTGTTGTTCGTTGGAACAGTCAAGCACTATCCCATTAAACAACGCATGGGGTCAAAGGAAGATCGAAAGGGTCACGAGATTTCCATTGATGGGATACTCACGCACTAAGAGGTTTAAGGAAGAAAAGGTAACGAGGTGTCCTGTGATAGAGGACTCACGCACTAAGAGGTAACGAGATGTCGTGCGGTGGGACACTCACGCACTTATAGTTGTAAGTAAAGAGGTAACTAGATGTCACGTGGTGGGATACTCACGCACTAAGACGTGTAAGTAAAGAGGTAAAAAGATGACGTATGATAGGATAATCACGCACTAAGAGATCTGAGGAAGAAGAGGTAACGAGGTGTCGTGTGATAGGATACTCACGCACTTATAGTTGTAAGTAAAGAGGTAACTAGATGTCACGTGGTGGGATACTCACGCACTAAGACGTGTAAGTAAAGAGGTAAAAAGATGACGTATGATAGGATAATCACGCACTAAGAGATCTGAGTAAGAAGAGGTAACAAGATGTCGTATGATAGGATACTCACGCACTAAGAGGTTTAAGGAAGAAGAGGTAACGAGGTGTCCTGTGATAGAGGACTCACGCACTAAGAGGTGACGAGATGTCGTGCGGTGGGTCACTCACGCACTTATAGGTGTAAGTAAGGAGGTAACAAGATGTCACGTGGTGGGATACTCACGCACTAAGTTGTCCCGCAGGCGCAGGTGCAGCGTGGCCGCGCGTTGCGCGTAAGGGCCGGCGGCCGAGTAGTGGCGCAGCGCCCTCAGGGCCAGGTAGTTGATGTTGAGCCACACCTGGCCGCGCCAGTAGGGCGGGTCCCGTTCCGTGTTGCGCCTCATGTGCAGCGGCGACGACTTCGACAGCGACCTGCGCGGGGCGGGTTCGATACGTCACTGTTAAAGCCTCGGGCGATGACGACCCCGTGGCGCCGTTGCCAAGGCATTGGCTCCGGCGCGGCAATTCGGGGGTTCGATCCCGGTGTTTGTCCGCGTGAAATTTATGTTTGTAAAACGTCCATACAGCATAGGATAATGTTATCCTAAAGTGAGGGCAGTGTTTTAAAGAAAACTAAAACCTGCCCGCCCAACAAGCGCTAACGGTGTAAGCCAACGACCCGTTCCCACCTAAGACCGTAGGGGGACCACAGCAGATCCGGCTTGTCCAGGTCCTCCAGTATCTTGCCCAGCTTCTCGCTCTCGGGCTTTAGCACCATCAGCAGCATCGGGAACAACGACACGTAGCCTGGAACCGCGACAGATTAAATCCTCACTTAATATTATAAACACGAAAGTTTGTATGTATGGATGGGTGTTTGTTACCTCTTTCAAGAAAATACTACTGAATGGATTCTAATGAAACTTCACGATAATAGCCGTAATAACTTTAAATAATAACGAAGAGCCGTGATAGCTCAGTGTCCGGACGCTCGCCTTTATTTTCAATATACTCGAGCAACCCGAGTTCGATCCCTGGTGCCGGCACCGATGAAGTTTTTAACTTTAAGTGCTGACTTATCACGTGCTCCGCGGTGAAGGAAAACATCGTGAGGAAACCTGCATATTTTCGAAATAATAACATTAAAAAAAATATTTTTCGAAGATATGTGAAGTCCGCCAATCCGCAGTGGGGCCGCGTGGTGGACTATGCCCTGATACCCTCTGTATAGAGAAGGCCTTTGCCCAGCAGTGGGACATGTATAGGCTGTTACGTTTACGATAATATAGCTTATCCATCAGAATAAGACATAGGCTATAATTTATATACATATTTTATGTATATCTGTCTTTCTGTCCGAATGTTACGCCTTCAGCATCTACGCAGACGTAGTCGCGGGCAGCAGCTAGTATAACATACTAGCTTTTCGCCCGCGGCTCCGCTCGCGTTGAAGCCCTTAAATAAAAATGTTCAACCCTTAAAAATACATTTTCCAATTAAATAATTGTCTATGTCCCTTCTAGAGTATCTGTGTACCAAATTCCGATTAAGTTATCGGGTGAGCTTAGTACGACACATTGCGCGAGTACCAGGGCGCCATAATTTGCAAGTGACCTCACCGAATGCCGACGTGACCAGGCGGGGCTTCGGCGGTGCCGAAACGAGCCGCACCACCTTGGGCTGCTCGTTGGGCGCCTTCGGCGCCTGACGCACCAGCCGCACGGCGTCCGTGTGGAGACCTGCAACGGAGTAAGATAGCTTCAAATCATTACCATCATCATTAAAAGCGTACAGTAAAATTAAAGTAACAAACAGCCTATACATATTCAAACTACGTGTTGTTAGCAATCGTTCAAATCCGGCCCAAAGGCGACGGACGGTTCATTCATGGCTTAGGCTTTCTTACAGTACCTATCACCACACGGAAAAGTACCAGGCGAACATGAGCACATAGCAGTCGGCACGGCTCTAAGCTCAAACTACATGTAGTTAGCGCCGTGGCCTTAGGTTTGAAATGAGATTTCGGTCTAAAAGACGACGAGTTCGTGGCTTAAACCTCCCTAAGTACCATCACCACACGGAAAAGTACCAGGCGAACATGAGCACATAGCAGACAGCACGGCTCCAAGCTCAAACTACATGTAGTTAGCGCCGTGGCCTTAGGTTTGAAATGAGATTTCGGTCTAAAAGACGACGGGTTCGTGGCTTAAACCTCCCTAAAGTACCATCACCACACGGAAAAGTACCAGGCGAACATGAGCTCACCGTAGTCGGCGTAGGTCTGCGTGACAGGCGACCAGTGCAGCTCGTTGAGGAGCGCCTCGTCGCCGAGCTGGTCGCGCATCGCCTCGAACCTGGGACGGACAGGAATTCATCTCATTGGTCGATGTTGTCAACTATTTGTTACTGTTTAAACACAGAAAGTCAAGTATAGAAAGAATAACGCTCGGTTTCTAAAACACTGATCATCATAGAAGACAACTAACCAGTTGTCAAATGTTATTTGCCGTCTATGGCTTGGGTCCACGTGAGTCACTACGGTATATATTTAAGCAAATAAACGTTTTAACGCTCCCGTTGCTTTACATGCTTGAGAACATCATGTATGTACGTAATAATATCCACCTATTTACGAAATAAAACCGCTTAAAAACTTTAAAGTTAAACGGTTTTATTTTATGTGCACTGAAAACTACAACATTGTATTGCCATCTAAATTAAATGTGTGTACCAAATTTCAGATAAATCTGACAACGGGAAGGTGCTTAAATTTCAATTTCTAATTTTGACCCAAATAAATAAACAAATAAATTCCGTACGGGTCGAGCTAAATAAAACCGTTTAAAAACAATCCACATAGCGTCGGGACCGTGGTGACACTCTGGAAGTACCGCGGATTAGGTTGGCTAAAACCAGAAAGTCGTTTCTACATTCTGTTACATGCATCAACTTTTATAATGAAATAGGTGACATCCACAAACAACTAAGTATAAACAATTTCAAACAATTTGTAAAAGCTACCTTAATGGCATGGGCCTACTATAATGGCCAAGTTACAACACCAATTAAAACTATATGGGATTATATGGGAGCCACACTGAAACCAATGTAAAATGAATTTTTAAAATGTTTGCATATGACCGAGTTCTGAGGTGACAAACGAAAAATATAGGAATGAAAGATAATATTAAACGAAGATACAGCCAAATTGAGAACCTTCTTCTTTCTTGAAGCCAGTTTAAAGATACAACACTTACGATTTACAACTTTGAAGCTATGACTTGCTTCATTGAATAAACATTTTTGGGCTCTTGTGAAAAGCCGTTGTCTCTTTTACTACACAGCCACACCATAAGCATTTTTACTTCAATATACAAAAGTAGAAAAATTATGATGGTATTATAATAATATCTAATATATACAATTCTCGTGTCACGGTGTTTGTAATTGAGCTCCTCCGAAACGGCTCGACCGATTTTCGTGAAATTTTTGTGTGCATGCCAGGGTGGAGAATCGGACAACATCTATTTTTTTCATCCCCCTAAATGTTATGGGTGGTCCACCCCAATCATTTTTTTCTAACGTGCAAATAATTCATATGGCAAAACAACCTTTGCCGGGTCAGCTAGTATTATTATACATTTGAGAAATTTTTAAATGAGCGTTTTTTTTTATGAGTACAAATTTATTCTACTTGCCTATTTATCGTTATTAGCCACATACTTAAGTTTTAAATTTAGACTATAAACCAGACTTTATGACATAAAGACGCTGGGCCGGATTTAGGCGAGGGCAACCAGGGCAACAACTCCGTAGCCTCCTCAAAAGAGGGACCCACAATAGAGACTTCGGAAAAAAAAATTCAAATTCAGAGAAGTTAAAGAAAAAAAAATTTTCAAAGTAAACAAGTTCCGTTCGTTAACGCTAAAATTTAATTTTAGATAATTCTTGTTTCCTTCATTACTTCATCATTACTTAGTTTGACAATAAATTATTTATTGGAAAACTCAATTGAAAAAAATTTTTCATTTTATTTGGAAAATAATTTGGGGTCAAGGGGCCTCCTCTCCTTCGTTGCCCCGTGGCCTCCAGACCTCTAAATGCGGCCCTGTATAGACTTAATCTATACCGTAAATTTTGGTAAATTTTTATATAAAATTTTCATAAAAATAACTAATTATTTAGTGACAATGAATCAAATGAAACTGAATTATGTTGCTGAACGTTACGATGAGGAATTGGGTGGTGATCTGATGGTGATCTGGATCTCACTAACTTGGAGGTGTCCCTGTGGAGGGCGGAGGCGATGGTGACCATCGCGTCGGCGGCCGCGAACATCCAGCACCTCAGGTCCACGTGACGCTCGACGTCCGTGGGGTGGGAAGCCCTGGAACGGAATCAGGAATACATCAATTAGTTAAACATAGGTCAAACATACCGTAAACATAGGTTAAACATAGTCTAGTCATATTTTTTATTCTTAAACGATGTCAAGCGAGCAAGCGGTTCATGGAAATCTACAACACCTGATGTGATTACCATGAAACGCTATAACCGCAACACGTATGGGTTACATGGTGTTCAGGATAGAACAAGGAAGAAGAAACAACGCTTCTGAAGGTGTTAAATTAATATAATTTCAACTAAAAAATAATTAGCTTTGTATTCAAATGCGAGTCCGTTACGGTTGGAAGTCAGTGCGAATGTACAAATTTGAATGTGAGTTGTTAACCGTTTATAAGCTAATATGTTTAAAATCCAACGGTCGACTTCTAACGCGAGTGTTACAAGTATAAAGACAGTGTATGGTATACATATTAATAATTTAAAATTTATTTATAATTTGAACTTGTCTGTAGCGCAGACACATGGGTTTATGACTTTTATTAAATTCTCTAATTATTTAGGCAATTACATTTTATCTCTACAATTAGTGAATGTAGTGTTTAGTTGAAAGTGGGTTACAGGGTTATTATCAAACTAGCTGGTGTCCGTGACTTCGTCTGAGCAGGGTTAGCACTTTGAGGAGCTTATTTTCTTCCCCAAGGTTCTATGTTTCTTTCTTGGCTAGTCCGGAAGGTTCAGTCTATCAGTCCTATATAATATGGTGCACAACAAAAATTAACGAAGAACAGAATCAAAAGAGCTAATGTAAAATATCTATCGCTAGTAGCCAAATCTATCTGAAGATAGAATATTGCAACCAAACCGTAAATTGCTTTTCTTTATATGTTTAAGTGTGTGATCAGTAACAGGTAGCGTAAACCAATCTGTTTGAAATAAAACATGGTGTCACCGTGGTCAAGCTGGTCCGCCGATACCTTGGGTAGTCGTCCAGGCCGGAGGTGAGGGTCTTGGGGTTCAGCTGCAGCCCGTCGTCCACGCGCCCCCTCCAGCGGTACGAGGTGGGCTCCTTCCCCCTCTGCGTGGCCTGGAACCACTGGTACCAAGCCTGCGGAGAAGATTGACAGGTGTCAATTAGCCCTTTTCACAACTGGTTAGAGATGGCATTACTCTTCTATCAGATATTTATTTTATTTATTTATACTTTATGCACACAAAATATGTACAGAGGCGGACTTAATGCCATCAGCATTATCTACCAGTCAACCTTTGGGTGGTCCAGAGAAGTTTAAGTAGGTGCATTGATTGTAAGAAAAAAACAGATTATTGACGAAAAAAAAAGCAAGTCAAATTTATAAGCGATATTACATAAAATACTATACTGGGTATATTAGTATATGGTATATATTGCAATGATTATGTACACTGGATACCACAATGATGTGATTTCAAAAAAAGATGTAAAGGCCCCCACGCCCCTCCCCATACGTGACAAAACAGACTGCTGCGGGGCCCTACCACAGTTAATTCAAAGACATAAACGAGTCCGACGGTTAGGTCCCACACCCCCCCCTCACCTGCAGCCTCGGGAACATGCGGTCCAGGGTGGCACGATGCTCGCCCGACTGGAAGAGGCCCGGCCTGGCCGCCACCAGCTGGGCGAGCTGCAGCAGCAGCATCGGCGGGTTGGCGGCCGCGTTGCTCTGCACCACGAACTCCTTCGGCACGCGGGCCAGCGCCTCCGCGCCTGGAAGGAGCAACGGCCGTGTTATGACATCCTGGCACCGGCGGTACCGATGCACCATCGAGTCGAAAACTACGGCAGACCACACCAGCCATTCTATGCCATCCTGGTACCGGCGGTTCCGATCCACCATCGAGTCGAAAACCACAGCAGACCACACCAGTCATGCTATGCCATCCTGGTACCGGCGGTTCCGATGCACCATCGAGTCGAAAACTACGGCAGACCACACCAGCCATTCTATGCCATCCTGGTACCGGCGGTTCCGATCCACCATCGAGTCGAAAACCACAGCAGACCACACCAGTCATGCTATGCCATCCTGGTACCGGCGGTTCCGATGCACCATCGAGTCGAAAACTACGGCAAACCACACCAGCCATTCTATGCCATCCTGGTACCGGCGGTTCCGATCCACCATCGAGTCGAAAACCACAGCAGACCACACCAGTCATGCTATGCCATCCTGGTACCGGCGGTTCCGATGCACCATCGAGTCGAAGACCACAGCAGACCACACCAGTCATGCTATGCCATCCTGGTACCGGCGGTTCCGATGCACCATCGAGTCGAAGACTACGGCAGACCACACCAGCCATGCTATGCCATCCTGGTATCGGCGGTTCCGATGCACCATCGGAGAATAAATTTTGTGTCCGATCTATGCACACAAAATTAATAATACAAAAACTGACGGTAGCCCAGGTTAACTATGACAATCAGACGTCTAACACCTCAGTCTGTCCCGTGACCATGAACGCTGTAAAGGGTTCGAAACGTCGGGAATTAAAATTAAAAATAAACGCGATAAATCCGTAAAATTTGTTTCATTTATAATTATTCAGGTATATTGAATTAAAGGCGAGCGCCCGGACACTGAGCTATCACGGCTCTATACATTTATTTATTTATTTATTATTTTTTGTGAGAAAGTGGCAAACGAGCTGGCGGTTCACCTGATGTTAAGTCATAACCGCCGCCCATGAACATTTGCAACACCCGTAAGGTTGCAGATGCGTTGCCACCTTCTAACCAATTGGGCCCCGGCTACCTCACTCACATCACGCCGATCTTCTGTGAGGTCGTGGTACTAACGCGGATGGATGGACCTGCCCATTCGTGCAACAGCGGAGTCTGTTGCGTGGCCCCTTCCGCAATCAAAATATTACGTAGAGTGCGTAGAGTTCGCGAAAATACAAGGAGGCGTCCGAACCCAGGATCTGTTCGCGGGGTATCCAGCCCTCGACGTTGATCAGGTCGAGCCAGTGGGCCGCGATGTCCAGCTGGATGGAGGGGGACCAGCGCCCGAGCAGTAGGCCGTGGAAGCCCTCGTCCCAGAGGAAGCCGCGCGGGAAGAACGACCTGCCACAAATGATATACAAATGAGAGGTATACAGGGTGGCCCAAATTCACACAGGAGGTTCAGACTCGGTAGTATAATCGTTTAATTCAAATAAAAACATCCTTTTTTTTTTCAAAAACTTTGCCATTCCATTCCCTTAAAAACAGAACTTGTTGACAATGCGGTAGTCATTCATAAAAACCAAAATTTTACTGTGCACGAACTTGTGTGCGTGTTAGTTATGAATGAGCTCGCGTAAAATAAATGAGTTGCCCATACATGACGAACTTTTGAAATAAGTTCAAATGAATATATTTAATTAATTACAAGTGATTTTAAATATTTATCATTTTTTATATAACATTATTTATGTCTAGAATTTAATTTAAAAAAAGGCCTCCCTGTATAGGATTGATGGAATTTTTAGAAATTATTGGCGTAAAGTATTCTTCTTTGAATGAATTTACAGAGTTCTGCACAGTTCCATGCATCATGCAGTGCAGTGTGCCCGTGTAATGTACCTTGCTCAGGACTTTACTTAGTAGGATCCGTATTGATAGTATCCAATATACAGGATTGGCAGGATCCAAGAGAGTAAAGTATTCTCCTTTGAATGTCTGTGCAGTCGTCGTGGGGTTGGTAAACGTGTCGCGTCGGCATCGAATCCGCACCTGCTCGGCACGGCGGTGTAGAGGGGCGCGCGCCAGTACGGCACCGGCTCCGGAGTCCTGGCCGACCTGACCCTGCCCGCCCCGTAGAAGTAGCCGATGCCGCCCACCATGTTGGACAGCGCCGCCTTCGCCGCCGCGATGTCCACCTCCGCGTACCTGCCGATTGGGCGGCCTTTATCCCACTGCTGGACAAGCGCCCTCCGGAGGGGGCAATACAGGCAGAAATTTACGTTTATTTTAAACTAGCCGCTGCCGGCGACTGCGCCTGCGTAGAATAGGCTGAAGGCGTAACATACAGACAGAAAGACAGATATACATAAAAATATGTATATAAATTATACCCTATGTGTTATTCTGATGTACAAGCTATATTATTGTAAAGTTTCATTAGAATCCATTCAGTAGTATTTGCGTGAAAGAGTAACAAACATCCATCCATACATACAAACTTTCGCTTTTATAATATTAGTAAGGATTTGTAGAAAGTAGTAAGAAAAGTTTCTCGCCGCTGTGGGAATCGAACCCACGTCTTCGGCATTCGGGCCGACGCTTGAGCCACAAAGCTAAACGGCTGATTGTCATACTGAAAAAAATCACAAGGGCGTTTATTATTATTGTTTTTTGTTTCTTCGCATTTCAAGCAATGTTTGGCGCATCTACTGTTATATCCTTTAAACAATTTCAAGTATCTTTTTACAACGATAATTCGAACGGGATATGTCGCCATTGCTGTATCATATTATATTGTATACCTTTGATTATGTCGCTGTATGTCTACGTTCCGTCTGGTAAGTGAGGTGGCCGGGGCGAACTTCATTAAAAGATATTGCCATATGCAATACTACGGGTGTTGCAAATGGCGTTGCAAATTCAATGGGCGGCAATTATCACTTATCATCAGGTGAACCGTCGACTCGTTTGCCATCTTCTCCCATAAAAAAGTAACTTTTTTTAAACAAACATCGATCAACGTGTAACAATTTCTTTTACAACATTCTTTACTTCTTTTGTTCCTTTCAGTCGCGATTAACACTGTGTGATACTTCTCTCTCTTTCATTCTTTCTTTCATCTCCCCCTCTCTCTTTTTCGACCCCATCCAACCCTTCGTCCCCAGCCGGAAGGTTTCCTCAAAGTGCTGACATTTTTTAAAACAAAAATCGATTTCTTTTACATCATTCATTACTTCTTTTGTTCCTTTCCGCCACGATTGACACTGTGCGATGCTTCCCTCTCTTTGTTTCCTCTCCCTCTCTCTTTCTAGATCCCCACCCACCCCTTCTTGCCGAGGCCGAAGGTCTCCTCGAAGCGCTGGTCGAACTGGCGCGCGCTCTCCCTCAGCGCCAGGGTGTACTCCTCGCCCACCAGCTGCGGCGGGTGCTGACCCTCGCCGGAGTACACCACATCCAGCACGAACGGCGTCTCCGCCAGCAGCTGCACCGTCACGTAGTTGGTCGCCCCGTTCTGGAAGTAAATAAATAAATAAATAAATAAATAAATAAACAAACAAACAAATAAATAAATATTTATTGGAACATTTTTACGCAACATTCTCTAGTCCCAGACTAAGCAACGCTTGTACTATGGATACTAGAAAACTGATAAACATACTTTTCTTTTGTAAATGAATACACATTATACATATAAAAACACGCTGACACTGGAAAAACACGATGTTCATCACACAATACTTTTCCAGTAGTGGGGATCGAACCCACACCCTCTGGCGCAAGAGGCAGGGTCACTACTCCTTCGGGTCGTCAAATAGAACGGTGCAACGGTTAGGGGCATTCTTTTTAAACGATGACGTCACGGTCGTCGACGTCATAGTTAAAATTAGTGACCACACTGAGTTACTGACAAACGAATTATTTGGAATGCCACCAGCATCTAATAAATTTGCCCAAAATAACCTTGTTTCTAGAATTTCTTCCTTGTACCAAAAATTTACAACTAGTATCGAGTCGGTAGATATATTTGATCAGAAGCTGAGTGAATTCAAATGATTAAGTGATTTGTGAGATACATAATGATTTATTTTCTTCTTACTTTCACTTTTTAGGGTTCCATACCCAAAGGTTAAAACGGGACCCTATTATTACTAAGACTCCGTTGTCTGTCTGCCCGTCTGTCACCAGGCTATATCTCATGAACCGTGATAGTTAGTTGAAATTTTCACAGATAATGTATTTCTCTTACAGCTATAACAACAAATACTCAAACACAGAATAAAAAACATTTAAGGCAAAAAAATAATGTCTGTTGTATGGAGCCCACGGAACGGAACCCTTCATGCGCGAATTCGACTCGCACCAACCAGTGCTCGACTGCTACCTCGCAGATTTTTTAAATTTTATATATATTTTATTTAATTGGTTTGTTTAAATAAGTTGGTTTGTTTAAGTAAGTTAATAAGCAAGGTTTGTTGAGGTAAGTTGAATTTTTTTTTAATTATGGCTTTTCTATGATGAACATTAATTTATTTTTCTCATGATTACTGGCAAGTAGCGATTAAAAGTGTGTTCATTAATGCCCGGTTCATATATTCAAAGAACGGCCGTTAGACACATAGCTTCGTAACTTTCACAACGGCTCGTAAGGGGAACGTCTTGTTTTGTTAATAAACCGGACATACACTCCTTCTATGGACAAGTCGTTATTAAAATTACAAAGCTAAGTAACTAACGGCCACGGTTGATTATAGGAACCGGTCATTAGTGGATAGTGTATCTGCCTCTTGTGGGTTCGAGCTATTGGAAATATTTTTTTTTTGTTACGTGCAGTTTGCTGTTAGCATGCGGTTTGGAAGACGCCGTCCGTTCCGCTGCACTCCGCAACACTCTGTTACCAATCATGGACAATAGACTAAAATGATCGGCATGACACGATCCCAGGTCCCCTCGGATGAGGGTTCGAACCTCGGCTTGGATCGCAATCGGAAACCGGGCATTACTGTGGCGGCTGCAACGCCACGTTTCGGATAAAACACGCCGGCCCCAGCGCCCACCTCCTTCAGCTTGGCCCCCTCATCCAGGATGGCCAGCTGGCCGAGCACGTCGTAGCTCTCCCTGCTCGGCAGCAGCAGCGATAGGAACTTCTCCTTAAGCACGTGCAGGCCCGGCGCCACCGCCTCGGCGTGGGACGAGTGCATCACGGTTCCTGCAATGGCGGGGAGTGAGTTCAATGTTCAGTGTTCTCCTGTAATGAGAGGGGTTTCCCCTTGCACAATTCCTAAACAGGGCTTTGAAAATACGCTTAGCACCCATGTAAGGGGATGGAGCTGGGAGGTCCCATACAAAATTTTATATACAGCTGCCGACCATATACAGCGTGTCTTTACAATCGCGACAATAAATGAACACACATATAGGGGATAACTTTTTAAAATTGTATTAAACATTTACATTCTTTAAACATCAATATTTATTAGATTTATTAAATTTTCTAAAACAAAGAATTTTAGATCACCCTTACGTATAAAACTGTAACGTAAAGTTCATTTGTAAAGGTCAAATAGCATATGAATGGGTTGAATGAATTTAAAAGAGACAAAACATACTGTTAGAAGGAGAGGCTTGTAATGGGACGCTGTGGCGCGAGTTGTATAGGATGTTCCAAATTTAGTTTCTTTTTTGCTTAATTAGTTTGTTTGAAAAATTTTTTTTTTAAATTATGGATTTTGTTTAACATTAATATTTTTTATGATCATTGTCAAATAGCGTTTGATGTGTGTTCATTTATTGTCGCGATGGTAACGACACGCTGTACAGGAACCGGGCATAAGTCGATTTTGTTACCAGTATGCGGCACGAAGGAGACTCGGAAGTTGCCCAGCTGCGGCGTCTGGCCCATGATCTGGCCCCCCTCCATCCAGAGGCGGGAGTCCGGCGCGGCCGGGCCCAGCGCCTCGTCCAGCGCCGCGTACCACACCAGGCCGACCGTGGTGCGCTTCTTGCTCTGGAAACGACCGGCACGGCGTTAGACGGGGAACGGACGCGGGAGAGACTGACGGGGGGGAGGGAGCAATCGGGGGTAGTGGGTTCGATTCCCAAACGGAGTAAAGTTTTGTCCTAAACACTATCGCTTCCGGTGGTTTAGGTGGCACTAACGGAGCCCTGTAGTCCCGGGCTCATAGAATAGGGCTAAGGTATCCCCTGCCTGTCGTAAAAGGCGACTAAAAGGGGACACGGAAGGGCAGCAGCACGAAGTGGTCTCGTGCTGCTGCAAGAGGGTGAGGGGATCGGAGAAGGTTTATCCTTCTCCGAGGCGTGCTCAGGCGTAGTACCGAGGGACACCGGTGCGTTCCGTGGGAGATCCCGGAGTCCCTCCAAATGTACAGAAGGCGGCCACCGAGGGGGTTTTAGTGGGTAAGACCCTGTCATGTAAAGTGACAGGGTATCTTTTGAAGATTTCCCCCGCGATACCAAAAAAAAAAGGTGGCACGCACTGGCACGGTGACGTTGATCCTGGCCGTCCAGTGGCCCCCGGGCTCCATTCCGGGAGCCTTCACGAACGAGGTGGTGATCGCGTGCGGCGGGTCGAGGATCTTCTGCTCGCCGAAGGTCACGCCGTCGTGGCGGGTCCAGCCGTACGAGGGCAGCTTGTCGTTCTGGTCGCACCAGTGCCTGGAACCGCGTTGGACACTTTTGGTTAGGTAAAAATGAGGCAACCTGAGTCTGCCACTGCGCATGGGGGTGTCTGCCGCTGCAAGTGGGGCTCACTATTATCATTTAGCCGGACTGGGTGGCCGAGCGCCCGTGAAGGGGCCTAAGAAGGTCGTAGTCGTGCCGGGGTCGCGGAAGATTGCGTCCAAGTGTTCCCGTGTCCCCGGCCGATGCGACGGAGACAGGTGCAACGTGGGTTTTTTAGTGGTTACCCGTTCTTATTGGGACTCCCACATGCCCCTGCCACTCCCCCGATCCAGTGGCAGGGGATCCATAAAGGATTTTTTCCCCCGGAAAAAAAGGTAAAAAAAGGCAAAGTAAACGCAGAATCCCACTGTCCCACTGCTGGGAAAGGGCGGCCTCCGTACAGACTTTTTTAAAGATCAGCGTGAAGAGGAAGTGTTCCGTACCGGAACCATTTTTCATAATTTGTTTTATTTTTTTTCGTTATCGTTATTTACATTTAAATTGCGAGTGCCAACAATGATTAAGTTGATAGGGATTTTCTATTTTTTGGTCTGGTAACAATCCTTTTCAACACTGAACACCGCGCTCACCTCCGATTGGCTGAGCGACGTCAAATACTTGCGCGCCGTACGCCGAAACGTTAACACTTTGGCTTTTGAAAATTACCGTGTGTCTCGCTATTACTACGAGTACGAACAATTCCCGAAGAATACTGTGCCAGCAACCTATGGAAATACTATTCGGAGAGACAGGGTCATATCTTTTTGAGAAACCGAATCGGCCAACCAGTTCGCCGAGCCCCAGCAGCGTGGGGCAGTGGAAGGCGGAGACCGGTGAGGTACCAGACCCTTAGCTCTTTCCTGAACAGGAAGTATTATAAGTTGCGTGTGAGGTAGCCGGGTGAGTTAAGTAAGCAATAAGGCAAAGTAAACCTATATTTATGTGCCACTTGCACTTCGGGAAGTCGATGGAAGTCGATGGTGGCTCAGGATCTTACTTCGTGGCAGTCTGTGGGGGAGGCCAATGTTCAGCAGTGGACCCAAACAGACTGAAATGCTCGCTTGGCAATTTATCACAAAAAAAAAACTCCCCTTTCAAACAAAAGCTTAGATTATTCTCACCTGATTCCCTTGTGCGTCACCCCGAGCTCGTACCACATGAGGCCGAAGACCGGGGACCGGGGCTCGCGGGTCTTCAGACCGAAGTACACGCCGGGACGGTACGAGCCCCAGTACATCTCGGGCACCGCGAGGCCGGTCTTTTGCACCACCTGCAACACATAAGGACGTCACAACCGGAGTCTGCCAGTTTTGAACAGGGCTAGCGCGCGTTGCCCTCCCGCCTGAGGGTGGGTTGGTGAAGTAGTTGATGGTGGTAAACGTACTAAGGGGCCATTAATTAAACACATGATGTTTTTTAGAATTTTTAAGCACCCCTACTCGCCCTTGGTGATACATGGTGAGGTTTAAACTACCACACCGCCAGTTTTTAGTACCTATAGAGAATATTAAATATTTTTGAGTATTATCTTTAAATACAGGTAGCTACAAAGCCTAATCCAGTTTTTATTTTGAAAGTAAGGACTATGATAAAAATTTAAAGGCGAGTCAAGGTCCGCCGCTTTAGAGATCGCTCCTTTGACGAAAAAATAAATACACGTGATCTCTTACTACACCCCCCTCCCTCTTTGTGATATTTCATGATTTCCAAACCCCCTCCTCCCCATTCGAGCCTCACGTGATTAATGGAGAGTCTTAACTCATTCAATACAAATTTATTGAGCTGTAGCTCTGGGCGCCTAAAATGGGGCTAAGATATCCCCTGTCTGCCTCTAAAAGCAACTAGAAGGGAACACTGTGTTCACAAGTGATGGGGGTGGCTTGGATCGACACCTTCGGTAAGCACATTGAGGATGGTAACATGAAATGGTCCCTTGTCGCTGCAAATCATTAAGGGAACTGGGGAAAGTATTCATCCCAGAGTCAACCTATTGTGTGGTATAACAGGGCGCCATTGGGTGTTCATAATATATCCCAAAGATCCCCCCCTAAAGTAGTAAAAAAAGTAACAGCATATATTTGTCCCACTGCTGGGCAAAGGCCTCGTCTGTGAGGAGGGTATTAGGGCATAGTACACCACACAACCTCGCTGTGGAGTGGTGGACTTCACATATCTTCGATTTTTTTTTCCTCATTATTTTGAAAATATTGAGGTTTCCTTACAATATTTTCCTTCACGGCTGAACCTGTGATAAGTTAGCACTTAAAGTTCACAATTTCATTGGTGACTGTACTGGGGATCGAACTCATGTTGCTTGAGTATTTTGAATTAAAGGCGAGGACCGGGCACTGAGCACAGACCTCACCTACCAGTGGATAATGACAGGCCTTAAGTGAGCAATATTGTTGAGTCTTGTTAAGTCTTTGTCCTCACCCCAGAGGCAGGATTATATCTTTTGGTGACTCTCCAATATCAAAGACAATTAAAAAACAGCACAAGCTTCTACAATTCGTTAATTAAAAACTACATGTGATTACTTTATACATAATATTATCCTTTCTACTGACATAGAATATTATTTAGAAAGTAATCTTTGTTCTGTCCTATTCACTGCAATTACTACTACTACTTTTTTTGGGCAACAAAGCGAAACATTCATCTGATTATAAGTGACAACTCAAAATCAGATGAATTTCTTCTCATAGCAGATGGCTCAGACGGATTACCAACCACTATGTGAGCAAGTTAATTAATTCACTCACCAAATGAAATGCAAAAGTATAATACTATAATGTTGTAGAGGACAATAGATAATATTACATTTGGTTTATTTTTAAACATTCCTTCCTAAATTAAAACCTCATTTATAATTTAGAATATTTGTTACAGATGCTTTAAGTTCAAAATATATTGTATTCAATCAAAACCCCAGGATAACAGTTATAAGCAAAGAAATGCAAAATTAACAATTAAAGTTTATGTCACTTATGTAAGATTTGCATAAATCAATGGACAACTCGAAGTCTAACAGTCTATCATACAATTATTAATTATATACAAGTTATTATAACAATAAATAATATTTTCACATTCACTGATTTTATTTCAATCATTAAAAATGAATGAAATAAAAAATCAGTTCTTTCAAAAGTGTCTAAATTTTCGGAAAAAAGTAAAGAAACATGTTGCAAGTTGCGGCAATACGTATTAGTTGAACTCGGAAAAGAACTCACTTTTTCATCGTCGAATGGCGTGTTGACGCGAGTTTCTAGGTAGCCCAGGATGCCTATATATACTGCGACAAAGAGGCAGATGAGTCCAACACCAGTCTTCGAAACAGATGACGCTTTGTACGAGCGGCTAGTGCCGGCGCCTTCGCCACCGCCAGAACTGCCACTTGCTTCATTGTTATTCCCATGTTTATGTTGCGAATTCGCCACTTTTCTCTGCCTTACCATTTTAGCGGATCATAGAATTGTATAATAATTATAATAACTCGAATACGAGTATCTTTTTTAATGCGACTCTCTTCACAGGGTCGAAATAGCGGCGTTTTTTTTCAGCTTTCAGCTTTTTTGACCGCGATCTATTCTTCTTCTTCTTTTTTTTATTAATGGCTTGCTTTGTGAGTTATCACAATTACGCCAATGTCAAGTTATTCTTAAAATTCTCAATTTTATAATATTCACCGCGATCTATATTCTGATTCTGTAATCTGTAAGTGTAAACGTCAATAAACTGAAACATTGCCAGGTCTAGTGAGTGAGGGTATAAGAAAATGTTTTATTTCTAGAAAAAAAGATATGTACATCATATTTGTAATTTAATATACCAAAATGTATAACTAAGTAAGATTCCTTATTTTCTATTAGACATTTTTTCTATGTTGCAAAAGGAAAAATGACTAAAAATTAAGCATTACGAGTCGAAGATATCCTTAAAAATTAGTTATTAAAAATAAGAACGATAAAAGAAAAGCGAAAATCTTCAATGCGTCTATAGTTAATGTTAAAAATTATCATCGATATGGCAACAAATTAACATTCTGTCACTGTCGCTACATAAAATGGAATTTAATTTATCGTAAAGCAGGGATGCCAACTTAGGAATTTTCTTCCTAAATTTAGGAAAAAATGTACAATGGAGTTTTAGGAGTTAAATTTTATTCACATTTTAACCAAAATAATTTAATAGTGCTGTGCTGTTTTGATGTTTTGGTGGAAAATATATAAAATTTATTATTATCTTTATTTTTTTCTTTCATAAATGGAATCCAACCCTTTTTTATTATTTGATTAAGCAATATAAAATGCCAAAGGGCGTTAAAATTGTCGTCGGATATGCTTACATAAAAACTTATTTTATGTATTCTAATGATTAGTAATGATTAATATGATATTTTTTTAATATCGTTTTGATTTTATTCTTGATATAAAATAAATAAGCCTTTATTACTGCTCTTAATTTTTACATGCTAGAAAATATTAGTGTGCCTTAAAATTAATTAACTTTATTTAACTTAGATAAACTCAAAGTTAAACTTAGGATTAACTTAATTAATAGTAATTATAGTAAATAAACATTGGCAAACGGTCGTTATTCTGGTGAACCTTCGACGAAGGCCTCCTCTAAAGATTTCTGTTGTTTCCTTTGGTATACAAGTCCGTAATGGACCGTCCATAATGGTTCATAATGGATTTTACTAACGTCATCCTCCCATCTCTTGGCCTGTCAACCTCTGTTCCTTTTGCTGTCTCGTAGGTACCATTCTTTTTTTTATGTGTACAGTTGACAAACGAGCAGACGGTTCACCTGATGTTACGTGAATACCGCCCATGGACATCTGCAACACCTGAGGGTTTGCAGATGTGTTAACAACATTTTTGGCAATTGGGCATGGCTACCTTACTCACCAGACGAAACGCGAAAGTACTATACTTCCACTTTACGCCGGTCTTCTGTGAGGTCGTGGTACTTACCCGGACGAGCCTGCCCATTCGTGCAATAGCCGAGGCTGCTGCGTGGCTCTACCACCGTAGAATTGTTTCGATGATTCTGTTATTAGTCTAGTCCATTTCTCTCTCTTCTACCTCATCATATGTCCTGTCTATCTCCACTTTAGTTTATAGTTGTATATCGTTGTGTAGGCGTTCTTAAACTTTGTTATACTTTTTATACATATCCTTTAATTTTAGTCGGTCCTTTCTTTTAGCTCCTATTACACTTCTCTCTATTCCATTCTGACTTATTTTTATTTTGTTTTCTTATTGCTCTGTCAATGCCCAGGTTTGGCATCCGTATAATAGACATGGTAGAATTTACATATTGTAATTTCCCATTTTTTTAAAGGCATTTTTTTATTCTTCATGTCGTCATTAGGTGACCAAAATCTTTTCCAAGTATTAATAATTGTATTGACATGTTGTCCTAGGTATATAAGAATAAGAATAAAAATCGTGATTAACCTTTATGGTTTCTGTTTATCAAGAATTTGAATTTAATGTTGACAACCCGAATGGCGTAGTGGGTAGTGTACCTCCTATGCCAGAGGGTTTGGTTTCGTTCCCCACTATCGGAAACATATTTTATGATGAATATAGTGTTTTCCTAATGTCGGGGTGTTTATATATGTATAATATCTATTTATTTACAAAAGAATTGTATGTTTAAGTATGTTTAAGTAAGTTATCAGTTAATAATTTAAATTTTAAATATTAAATAAAATAGTTTCAGGGAAAATTTTTAAGTGTAGGCAACATTAATTCTAGCCAGGTAAACTACATGAGGCGAGCAATATTTTCGAATTTCGAATTTTCAATTTAGCATAAAGGAATAAACAGCGAATTGTGAACTGAAGGCTACTTGTAATTAAAATTTTACTCTTTTTGCTTTTACAAAATTACCAGAATATTTACGTCATACGTAATTATTCGATAAAAAAATGTGCCTAAGTATATAACTTGTTTTTTGTAAAAGTAATAAAATCGTTCATTCAGCATTCAGTATTTTATAGACTTAATTCTGATTTGTCAGGACTCGTTATATGTAAACTTGAAATATTTTAGTATGTGTATATTAGTTACTAGTCAGACTGCCCACTGCCAGTCCATTTTAGTACCTACTGGTTGGAACATAAACTATATTAAAATAACATTATTAACAAATAAATGAACCAGAAAAAAGTTTCAGCATACATAACATACCAACACGGATTATTAAGATAACATTTTCTAGTCCGTGCATAGTAAGAATGGCTACGTAGTCGCTATAACTGTAATTAATTTGGTCTTGCTTTTATTTCAGTTATTAAAGTATGAAAAGAGAAAGCGGCAATTGTGCTATCAAAGAATAGCGCTGACTGACCGGAGTAGTAGCAGTAGTCAGTACATTACTTTTTCCTTAGTGCATCGTCCGTAGCTGTGATACAAAAAAAATATTATAGAAAGCGCTGGAAGCGCTTGCAGGCGCGCCTCGGCCGCGCCACCTGTCCGTGGAGTCGATAAAACAGCACCGGGCGATATCCCCGTCGGCAAAGCAGCACCCCCCCGCGGCGGCGTACCCGCCCCGCCCCGCGCGACTCCGAGCCCAGTGCGATCGAGCGAGGCGCGCGTGTCTGTACTGCCGTACCGCGAACGATGCTCGACGCTACGCGGACACGAGGACGCTTCCAAACACACCAGTGAAATAATGTAACACGCCTAGCGACGGACCGCTCGGACCGACCGGCGGCTACCTGCGACTGTGAACTCGACGAGATACAAAACAAAAACGCCAACAAAAAAAAAAAAAAAAACGTAACTCCAAACTCCCATGTCAGTGCGCTCGGATTGTGTATGTGTAGTGTAGTTTGAAAATAGTTAAATGGATCTGCCTGCGATGTTCGTATGAGGAAGAAAGGAAACCGGAACATTGTAAGTGAACGCGCCACTACAGTGTTATTTCTGTTGAGATGCGGGGTGGCCCGCCCCGGCGGATAATCGAGTGGGGCGGCCGCTGAGCAAGCCACGGAGGTACGGAGGTCTATCCCTCGTATTCTCGATACGTTTTTTTTCACTCCCGAGCAGGTCTCTAACCCCTTTTTTGTGCGGTGCGAGTCTTTCTTTGGAGGGAATGTTTACTATGTCGCTTGTAGGTTATGGAACGGCCGCGGACAGAACTCTTGAGTAGGTACGTACGCATTATACACGAAATTATCAGCAAATGCTGAGGCGCCATTTCTGTTACTCCGTCCTGTGCAACATTCGCGATGAGCGCGTGAGAATTTATATTTGAAACAATTGCCTCCGCTTACAGCAGACTATGCACACGCTGTATTGACAGTTTTACGCACACATAGGTACATAATGTGTGTAGGAATATTTGGCATTGTGTGGTATTCGTTCGTGTAGTGCACACGTCGCAACTGTTCGCAGTTTAAGCATTGGAATCGTTAACACAATTATTATTCTTCTCAATAATACATTCCTGTGGTCTAGATGTCATATTTGTTGCTACGTACGCAAGCTGTTATTGTTTATCGTGGACGAGTAGAAAATTTAAGTTTTTGTCTATGGTAAAGGACTTATCAATTCGAATAATATGGTATTTTAGTTAGGTTGTAAGTTAACGGCTGAGGTACCAGAACAGATCTAAATAATAAAAAAACTACATTATTAAATTGCATTTCACGTATCCATAATATGTGTTGAAATCGTAATGCCACAAAAGTTGGTTCCTAAACATTTAAGTAACATCTTTCGTACATGTAACGTCTATTCGACGATAAATAAATAACCAATCATTTTTAAAAGGCTGAATAGAGTTCGCATAGTCTACGCAAAATATTTTTCCTAGAAACCGACCCTCAAGTTAACATAGTTGAAAACACATTTAAATAGTATAAACCGTCTTGGGATAGTTCAAAAGAGCGAAATGAGAAATTTTTGACTAGCTTTACGAGTATAAGTTTTCCGTTTTTGTAATTATGGTTGGATAAAAATCTACATTATTTACGAAAAATAATATGTATCGCTAATTGTAACGCTGTTCTTACGAGTCCGGATTCGTTGTTTCAGTAACTCTCAATTATTTGTTATCGTAATAAGCATAATTAGCATGATTTTCCTTCTGGTTTATCTTTCGTCGCCGCTTTGTTTTTTCGATACGTTCACGCCTTCGTAATATTACCATAATTCCGGTAAAATAATCAAATATTTTTTTAAATAATTTTCGTTAAAAATGTAACTGATAAAAATATCTCGACATCCCTGGTGGGGATCGAACCCACGACCTTTGGATTAGAAGTCCAACGCGCTATCCTCTGCGCCACAGAGACCTGATAATGTCACGTATAATCAAAGCTTAGTTCATTCCTATCAATTGCAATAAGGTTATTATCTCATAATCTCTTCATTGCTATATTCAAATGTTTTGACTAGTATGACCAGGAATATCATCTAATTACAGACGCTTATTTCGAGCCTAAATATCTTCAGACGCTTTATAGGTATCTGTGTCTAAGTTAGGAATATTAATATTAGAACATGTATTTAACGTTTATTTTTCGGTTGTATTTATACGGAATATTTAAAAAAAAAGATATTTTTGAGCTTGCTAGTATTTAACACCGTTACTAATATTTAACGAGATTTTAATTCGACATTACAATCTATTATAGTACAACTTAGATTCTTTGAATCACTGTAAACTAAACACTTCTGGAAATTCGTCCATCTAGTACGTACTTAGGTAAGACGCCTTATCTGTCGATCAATGTCAGTTTTATTATTTTTAAAATGTGTACGTTGACCACCAAAAACTTAAAATATGACCTGAAAAACACGTTTATCCGAAATAATCTTTTGCACAATTTGTGTTAGGTCTGACGTGCAAATCGGCCTGTTACTACAATTCCACTGCCGAACATACGCCTCAATTTTATTTATTTTCAGGGTCCCCCCGCGGCTTCTAACCAGTATACACCTTCTATAAACCTTCCCTTTCAATCAGTCTATCTAGTATAGAAAATCGCACCAAGATCCGTTGCGTCGTTTTAAAGACCCTAAGTAGACATAAGGACAGACAGGCATCGAGACGACTGTTTTATACTATTACTAGCTGAACCGGCAAACGTTGTTTTGCCATATAAATTATTTGTAGGGTAAAAAAAATGTTTGGGGTGACCACCCTTAACATTTAGGGGGATGAAAAATAGATGTTGTCCGATTCTCCACCCTGGCCGATATGCACGCTAAGATTCATAAAAATCGGTCGAGCCGTTTCGGAGGAGTTCAATTACAAACACCGTGACACGAGAATTTTGTATATTAGACTAGCTGCTGCCCGCGACGACGTCTGCGTAGAGGGGAGAAAATTTAGGGTTGTATTTATTTTTGTATGCTGTATCATAAAAAATAAAAACAAAAAAATTATGTAAAAAGTAAAATATAAATTTAGGGGTGGACCACCCTTAACATTGAGGGGGATGAAAAATATGATATGATGATGTCCGATTCTACACCCTGGCCGATATGTACACAAAATTGCACGAAAATCGGTAGAGCCGTTTCGGAGGAGTTCAATTACAAACACCGTGACACGAGAATTTTATATATTAAGAGGTAAATTCGTCTCCGCGGTGTGTACCGGAGGGCTATCCAGTTTCTTTGCGTGGCGGTATTCTATGTTCATAGGGAGAAGACTTGGCCTAAAGGTCCTTGATACCGGGCCATAAAATCCAAAAAAAAAATAGGGAGAAGACTTATCGCCTGTCACTTTGGGGTGACCAGGCCCACTCTGACGATACCGCGGCGGTTGTCTGGCGCCCGCCTTTAGTCACTAAGCGTCAGCGGACGCATTGGCGTAGTGGATGCTGCCTCTAGGATGTGGGTTCGATCCCCACGACTGGGAAAATTTTATTTTATGAATATGATTTTTGTTGTCACAGGTGTTGAGATACAGGATGGCTTTTCTAAAGGTGCCCAAATTCACACAGGAGGTTCAGAATCGGTAGTATAATCGTTTGTTTGAATAAAAACGGTGGTAGGGCCACGCAGCAGCCTCGGCTGTTGCATGGGCAGGCTCGTCCTGGTAAGTACCACGACCTCACAGAAGATCGGCGTAAACTGGAAGCATAATACTTTCGCGTTTCGTCTGGTGAGTGAGGTGGCCGGAGCCCAATTTTAAAAGGTTGTCATCAATCTGGAACTCTCGGGTGTAGCAGATGTCCACGGGCGGCGGTGTTCACTTAACATCACGTGAACCGTCTGCTCGCTTGGCAACATTTCACATAAAAAAAAGTTTTTTTTTTTTTTTTTTTTTTTTCAAATAAGTTGCCATTCCATTCCCTACAAAACAGAACTCGTTGACAATGCGGTAGTAATTTCAATCACAAGTCATAAACGCGTCGTATACTTTTGAAACGAACTTGTGCTTGTTAGTTATGAATGTTCGCGCGTAAAATAAACGAGTTGCCCATAAATCACGCACTTTTTGAGATAAGTTAAAATGAATGTAATTAATTATTTACGTGTGATTTTAAATATTAATCATTTTTATGTAACATTATTTACGTCCAGAATTTAGTAAAAAAATGGATACACTTAGAAAAGCCTCCCTGTATATAGACGCTTATGACATTATCGGTATAGCTGTAACAGTAGTTGCCTAGTTAAGGACTGGTGTGTAAATATATCCGTATATATTTATTTATTTATCACCCTTTTCCGTGAAATAAAAACCTGTCTGACCGTACTATGTGATAGTTTGGTGGTACGGCGCCCACACGATAATCTACCCCGTAACTACCACCTAACTACCTCGCAAGTAACACCTTACTACCTCGCAAGTAACACCTTACTACCTCGTAAATGCCGCAGGTCTTGAGTATAGACGCCAAGAAGTGTCTTGGTCTTGTCAAGTGTGTCTTCTTGTCTACACTCAAGACGTGTATGTGTTTGCGTGAGCTCTGTTGTCGTTTTCAAACAGTAGACACCTGGCGTTAAGTTAGGCGTCATTTGTGTTGCCATGTTTTGAACTAATACTCTCACCTGTTTTTCTAAACTTTCTTTTTTAATGTGAGAAGGTGGCAGGCAACCTGGCGGTTCATCACCTGATATTTATTTTATTTATATATTTATTGTACACAAAACACAAGATACAGAAAAAATAATGAAAATGAAAATAATGTACAAAAGGTAAGCTTAACTTATTGAGTTAAGCTTAACTCAATACACGAGTTCTCTACCAGCTAACCTGGCGAGAAAATAGGTGATTGAAGATAGCTAGAAATGTGTTCAGTGCACCCAGATATTCCTTTAACATACCCCACATAAATATAAACGTTAATATATATACATAAATATATATACATAAATAATAAACGCCTAAGTGACAACCGCCGCCCATGGACATTTGCCACACCCGGAGGTTTGCAAATGCCCTGCCAACTCTGCAAGCGGGCCCCGTCTACCACACTCGCAAGACGAAACTGGAAACGGAAGACCGGCGGAAGTGGAAGTGTATCGCATCGCATCGCACGCGAGGTCTTCCGTGAGGTCGCGTAACTTCCCCGGACGGACCTGCCCATTCGTGCAACAGTGAGGGCTGTTGCTGGTCCTACCACAGCTGAATCTCGCTGGGTGTGTACGGCAAGAACGATAATTTTAACTGTGTCGAAGCAACACATGATAACACGTAAATAAAAATATCAAGTAAAACTCGTCGAACTGTGGCTAACTTAATAACTGACAAGATATAATCTATTTATTTCTTATGAATTGTTGGTGTTTTTCTGTAAAAGTGCGCAAGAAGACATGTAAAACTGATATAACCCACCCATTATTTTTACCATCAATAAAATTAGTTTATTATACGAACTGTCGGAAGCTTTTATGACCTGCGAAAAAATGGACAGTTTATCTTTTCTGTACCT